GAAACGACTCCATCCTAGGAAATCCATCAGCGATCGCATGGCTTCGGTGGAGGCCTTGACATCCGATCTGCTGATCTGAGATGAACTAGACAGTTTCTCTCTCACTCCGAACAGAGTAGAGCAGATCTCTGAAGTCACAGTCTTGAAGGACGCGTATAAGAGACGGTCGGCTTTCGTAGACGGGGTCATGATCTGGAGATAGAAGGTTCTGCAGAGAGATGCGGCCTCGGCAAGATCAGGCTTTCCCTCGTCGCCCGGGTAGTTGATGAAAACATCCAGAATGAAGTTAATTTCCTCCAGCAAGACGGACGGTGAGTCAGTGCTGGCCATGAACTCGATCCTGTCAGCGAATCGACCGACGATGAGGTCAGAAATGCCCTGCCAATCAACCGGAGACTTCTCGACTGCTTTGCTAGACTCGATTGCCTCGTGTACGTGGTTTTTGATAACCTCAAGCTCGGCCTCGGATACGTACGACAGTCTCGGGAGATCAGGTCGGCGCTCGTTCGGGTTTGTCAGGTTGACGGGGTAGAAGAAGGCAGAGACCATGGATGAGTAGTCAATCAGCGTTCGTGAGGCGCCAATGCCCTGGTATCTCTCTGCCCAGCCGCGCAGAGTCTCAAGACGGTTGATGCCTCCGTTACGGTCGTTGCGCCGGTTTGAGCTAGAGCGACGTTGGGCCTGAACCTGCTCCAGGCCGTTGGTGAAGTCGCACATAATGATCTCAAAGCCAGCCTCCATACGCAGGATGCCATGTAAGCCCCAAGGTTTCACAAGGTCGCAGAGTTCAACTGCACGCTCACGCTCTCCCATCGGCCCGCCCCCTCTTACTTTGCTGGAATCAGGGTCGGTCCATGAGTCGGTTTTGCTGCCTCTCAGTAGGTAATCTTGCGAGTCAAGCGTTCCCATGCTAGTTTTGCCGCCGCTCATGCCATCGACGTAGAGGAGGTGGAGATCCTCTGAGGCTCGGTAGACGTGCAAGTAGCCACCATCGCCTTCAGCGCGCTTCTCTCTCCGCCCACCAAGAACGTGTTGGTCTGCATCCTCATGATCGGGTGGTGGAGGCGGGCCTCCTCCCGGAGGTCCTCTTGGTGGTCCTCCTCCTGGGCGTCCACCGGGTGGCCCGCCCGGGGGCCCTCCTCCCGGCGGTCTGCTAGGACGACCACGTGCGAACTCTTCCGCATGTTCAATCTCATACGCCAACCAGTCTGGTTCTGAGGGCGACTGTGGGCTATTGTTTCCGTGGTAAAGGAGCACGCCGGCTGGGACGGTTGCTGGGAAGAAAGACATGCCATTGTGATGGAGCGAAGAGCCCCACTGGCGCATGGAATCATGCACTGCATTGAAGATCTGGGGTCCCCGACGCCGCGCGAACTCTTCGCTAGGTCGCAGTTCGACAGGGTCGCATTGTGCTAGCGTGGATAGCGAAAGCAGGAGAAATATTGAATCAGGAATCGACTTCATTTCGGCAAATGTCCAGCGTCGTAGCTGGGAGGGAAATGTCGTGCTCGTCCGTGTCCAAGTCGTCGCGGTTCAAGGAAACGGGTTCACAGTCACATTGACAACACAAACGGCGGTGTCGATGGTTTTATTGAACATGGACTGACTCGGCCTGGGTTCGGATTAGGCTTGGCGGAGCCCCGAAGACGCGTGTTCAAAATACCGGAGACCGATGCGCAGGTTTCCGGGTCTCAAGGGCTCGCCATCAATTAGCACTAACCAATTATGGACAAGAACAACTCGATGCTTACGACGACGGGGTTCAAAGTGCTTGACAGCCCTGCTCTGATTCGCTCAAACATGGAAACTGTTGGATGTGGGCGCATCAACCGGAACATCGGCAGATTGATAAGATAAGATTCTGTCAAATGATGCTGGTGTGTCTCAATCCGACGATCGGGGATGATGGCAGTTTAAGAGACACAACACGTCATGAGTTGTGACGTTAGTGCTCATTGACTGCCATTTCAAGAATTGTTTTCTTTCAAATTTCTATCTTGCATGAACAAGACACTGGCTGGCCCTTCGCAACCAAGTAGGCAGTGCAATCAATCATCGCACTACCCCCACCAGATTTACTGGCAACAGGGGCTGAGAGGCAATGAATGACGACGCGGCAGGCTGAGAACACGCATGCAATCTACAACAGCATGCAAATTGTTTTACAGAATCAACTAAATGAAAGCAGTTGTACGAATTAGAAATCCGATGGGAGCTGACTGCGGGAGAAATCCTTCATCCCTAAACTCTGCCTCTCTCCAAGAACTTATTCGGAATATCCACATGTCTCGACCGGATATACTCGCACAAGTTCTTGCCTAAACTGTCGAAGCTGCTCGTGGAGTTGAACCCTCGGTCGAGGTGATCTTTCAAGAGGAAATGCACCGCCCGAATGTTCGGGAACTCGCAGCGGTCAATCTGCCGTCCCTTGTCATCCTTGCCTAGCAACTCTCTTAGTTTAGCAGTGCTCAGCAACGACCGTAGCCAGTCCCACTCGTCATCGTGGCGAACAAACAGTCCAAGATTAGCATTAGAGCTCTTGTCTCCAGAGCGGCCGAGCACCACCCAGCCAAGCGGACCTCGTGTGGTCTCCCCGAACTCTTTCAGATCTGCAGCATTCGCCGTATCATAGCTCGGCTGCTCCCGCTCATAGTCTCTCACGTTCGTTGGCGCGGGGATGTCTACCACTGTCCCGTCTGGTAAATGAGCAGTCTCGTGGACGAAGGTCTGCGGCAACAAGCTAACCCAGTACTCGAAGAACGGTCTTCCGATGGCTGTCCTCATGTCTGGGGCCATTGTACTTCCGGGGTAGCCCTGAAGCAAGTTCTCGATGCAGAATCGTGCGAATGAGCCACGATCAGAGTCAACGAAGTTATTTCCAGAGAGCAAGTCAGGGTCCCGCGTCTGGGCGAAGATGCGCATGTCGACGGTGGCTTCTTCTTGAGACTGGGGGTCTGAAGGCACGGCCCCAGCGACCATGAAGCGAAGACACGAAAACTTTTTGATATGATCGCCCATCAGGGCCTTTGTCTGGCGTTCGACCATGGCGGCTTTCTCTTCGATGTCGAGACCGGTGAGATAGAAATGGAACTCAGCTTGCCATCCGCCCTTGGCAGTGATGCCGACTGTCTTGTTATTAAATGTAATACGGCATGTTGTCGGCGTGAAAGACATACCTTTGGTAGTTGAGGGCGGCGGAAGACCCTTGACGCCAGAAACATGAACTGCGTTATTGCCGATCTGTTTCAGGTGCATGTCTTCGATGGAGGCTGTCACGTCTGAGTTGTAGTAGAGTGGCCCTTGAATCTCGTAGAGAAGTTGGCTGGCAATCGTGGCAGTGGTGACAAGGCCATGCTTGCCCTCTTCCATAGTAATGACAGCCTCTCCTTTCTCGTCGATGGCTGCGATGGGATCTATACATGCGTCAGAAAACTGTCTTCGTAGGGAATTTGAAGTACTCGCATCCCATATCAGTATCATTGAGACCAAGGTCCTTAAAGCCCGAGTAGTACCCTCCCGTAGCATAGGTGCTGCATTCGATGATGTGCCCGATCATCAAAGCACCAGCCAGCTCTGACAAATTATCCCGGGTCCATCCATGCCACCACATTGCAGCACCGACCGTGACAGAGGCATCTGCAACGCGGCCACAGAGGACGATGTCAGCGCCAGCCTTGAAGCACTCTGCGATCCCCGTGCCGCCGAGATAGCACTGAGCACAAATGGGATCAAACCCCCACTCCTGAATAGGCTTGTTGGCGGGAAGATTCAGAAACTTCTCGCCTATCTGATGGTCAGTAAAGCGCAGTTGTGAATCCTTGGCCTGGACACTGAACGTAACCTTTCCTGTACAATTCCAACACAGCGTCTGTCACATCATCGCCATCAACAACGCCGACCTTAAGATCAACGTCATGCTTCCTTATGAGCTCCTTGACCGCCTCAGCAAGCCCATGAACATCGCTCGCCCCGGCGTTCACAGCAATTTTGACGCCGCGCTTTGCTAGCCAGGGGATGGCTGGATCAAGCTCATCCAAGAAGTAAGGCTCGTAGCCTTTGGCAACCACCGAAGATCCAGACGACATAGACTTTTGGGCCAGGCGGTCACGCTTATCAGATCCGCGAAGAGTCATGTTGCATTCGGACATCCAGTCCCCGGTGATCACATCGACGTCTTCGTTCTTGGCCATGTCATGGATGGCGCGTTTGCGGTCGTAGACACCTGCCGGACGAAAGGGTCAGCGACTAAGTTCCATCAACACGAGGAGAACCGGACAAACCTCCAGAGCAGCCTGCGACTCGGATGGGCCGCTTCACGCCATGGCCATTGCCATTTGTGTTGTTGGTGGTTGCACTCGGTGCCATTGTGCAAGGTTCTGTGAGTAAGAGGCAAGCAAGGTCCTGCAACTTGAAAGCAAAGCGACTTTGAAATGTGTTTCTTCGTCTGTAAAGTGATTTCTACTGTTTTTCAATGTTCCAATGCGTACAACGGCCTGTGAAAAAGCCACAATATAAGGTATTCCCTGCAGTTTGCACCGCAAACTCCGTATGAAGAGCACCCGTAATTGGACCAGCATCTGAGGAAGTCATCGACAGCATTGTCAAGTGGGGTTTCAATCCAGTCATTGTCTGCCACAGGTTGGCGCTAATGATTCAGTACCCGTCAAATGCAAGATGAAGGCGGACCTCCCCGCAGATGAACCCTTTGCCGCACACCACCCCGCTTTACTGCCGAAGGTACCCAGCAAGCCGGATGATGACAGGCTGCTAGTTAGGGCACCAGGAACATGGATTCCAGGACTTGTGTAAGGTAGTCATTTCGCGTGTGAGGAAGCTAAGGGTCCAATCATCGAAACTGTGAAGTGCCAATATTATCTAGGCAGCTCACAAGTTACGAGCTGCTTGTCACATCGTGATCAATATCCAAGAGGCAAACTTTGATGATCGTATCGTTAGGTGTGATATTTAGATGGAATCTGAAGTAAATAGAATATCCTAGTCTAGTTGTCTTTGTGCAGGAACCCGTCCTTCCAGCTCAGGAACGTCCACGTCAAGCCGGTCCGTAAGTGCTTGGTGTTCTTGATGCTCTCCGCGATTGCCGTGCTTTTGACGTGGACGTCTTTCAAATATGCCTCGCTCTCATAGACTTCAACAGTCCAAAGCTTCTCGCTATCCTCAGAATCTCTGGCCAATCCGTAGACAAGAGTTCCTCCCTCGTTCTCTCGTCCTTCATTCACAACACCCTGCCAGTATGGTATCGATGTTTCCGATCCATCAGGACGGTAGCCTAACTCAGCAATGATAACCCAGGGGTCCTTCTCTTTGTGCTCAGACACCTTTGCACGCGAGAATAAGAAGTCATCGGATGGAAGGGATAGAAAGTGAGTGCTCGGGGTACCAGCAAGTGGACTCGGGTTGGTTGCGCTCATCCATGATACCAACTTCTGGACGTGTGGAAGTGCCATGTGAGCGTCAAAGTCGGCCTTGGACGGATACTCCTCGACGACGTAGATGGTGTTCTGTTTCTCTGGGTCCCGCGACAGGAAGATTGCGTATTTCGATGTACCGGGTTCCTTTGTCAAGGCATGCTGTGCACCGAACGATAGTTTACGCAATGCCTGATCCGGAGATGTCAGTTCTTCAAATCTGGATGGTAAAATCTGGATGGTAGAAGATTTGAAGTATACGCACATCATCTCGAGCCTCTGTGCTATACAAAGGGACAATCGCAACAATCAAGATCCTCTCACTCATAGTTGCATCGATTCAGGATCAGCTTTCAATGCAAGATAGTAGGTTGTGGGATCTGGGTTTCGAATGCAATGTCATACAATGCTAATCTTCTGCTGGGATGGTAGCATTCTTAAAGAGGTAGTGCCTGGATGTCCCCGCATAGCATCTCACACCTGCGTGAGTTTATCCGGATTGGCAAGAAAGGAATTCGGTGGAGACAGGTTGCTGCATGGAACAAGATCGACGTACACTGAATGCTCGAAAATGACCGACACTTGCCGCATCACATTTAGCTTCAGCATTTTGACGATGATCTAAACCGAGGATTTGTGAACCATTGAGTCGAATATTCTTGAGACAAAGGTAATGGCTACGTGAGTGTTGCTGGTACAACATACTTCTGGGTATACAGATAAGAGGCCTGGGTCCTCAACGTCGCTTAGCCAGCCTCCGTTAGCTGCTCCCTGATTTGATCTGACTTCAGAGTTTCGCAACAAATCTTCTTCCCTCGTCTAAGGAACACTCTCCATCGGTCATTTTGACCAGATCCCTTCTCAGAATCTTGCCTGTCGGATTTCTAGGAAGTCTCTCGACTGCCCATACCCCACCTCTAAGCTTCTTGTAGCCACTTACCTGGTTATCAACGACCTTATGAATATCTCTTAGTCTCCGACGAATCTCTTCTCTTCTCATCATGTCTCCGTCTTTTAATGCAACCCACGCAGTTGGCACTTCGGTCAGCTGGGTCTCATCCCATAACGCCCCGACACCCGCTTCCTTGACAAGAGGATGTGAGTTGACGATCTGTTCTAGCTCCGACGGACTGACTTGAAAGCCTTTGTACTTGATCAAGTCTTTTGTGCGTCCAACGATGAACAGTCTTCCCTCCCTATCGAAACGGCATACATCTCCTGTGTTGTACCAACCTTCCATGCGGAATGCTTCTTGATTGGCTTTTGGATTAAATGCATAGCCGCGAGTGATGTTGGGTCCTCTGATCCACAGCTCTCCGGGGCCACCTTCCGGTGCATCTTCAGTTGTTCCTTCCTTCTTGAGCGCTGCCTCAATGCCAGGCAGCAGCCTTCCAGTCGAGCCGTCGGGGACTTTCTCGTCAAAGGCTTGGTAGGCCACATAGCCAGCGGCTTCCGTCATCCCGTACGCCTGGATGAGTTTCCATGGAGCTCGCCTGAGCAGTCTTTCGATCTGCTCTGGTTTCAACGGAGCACCACCGATGTTGATGATCTGGGCTTTTGAAAAGTCAAATCGCTCCGTTACATCCGAGTTTGCGAGGCTCAGTACAACGCTTGGCACCCCCTGGAACGAGGTCGCTTGGTTGGAACCGACCAGTTGGCCAAACTTATCGATGCTGTACTGCGGCATTGCGTGATGGAACATGCCAGTATAAGGCCCAAGAAATAGAGGCATTGTCGTCATAGCGATGTGAGCCCACGGCGTGAAGGCCACTGTCCGAGACGAGACGTTGAACATCTGATGCTTTTCATCAAGCGCGACGAGTTGAAGTACGTTCGAAACGAAGTTGAGATGTGTAAGCTCAACCCCTTTTGGTTTTCCGGTTGTTCCGGACGAGAGGTGTATTGATGCCAACCGCCTCGATGTGTCTGGCCAGTGAGGTATCGCAAGCCGCGATGAAGCAATGAAGTCATCAGGGATATGTTTTACCCCCCTTGCGGGTTTGATGATCGAGAGTATTGTCGGACTATCCCATTGCACTCCCAGCGTAGATAGCTCCTTCACGGCAACAGCGACAGCGTCCTGAATCGCCGGCGTAATTGGACCATACGCAACGATGAAGTGCGGCCTTGATACCGCGAAACCATGACCGATCTCTGACGACTTGAGTGCATGATTAACCGGGCTCACAACACCCCCAGTCCATAAGATAGCATGGAACATTTCCAGAAACTCGACGCTGTTGGGAAGTACAATCGCCCAACGAGCCTGATCCGGTGGATTCAGTCCATCCTTCAGCCCCTTCGCGATTCTCCCGGCGCGGTCGCGAAGTTCTCCAAGCGTAATGCTGCGGTTCGTCAGGCTATCCGAAGCGATGATATGAGATTCCGGTATTGATGTAGCCGTAGTATGAAGCAGCTCTGTGAGGTTCAAGTCGCGTGGTATGTCGATGGGCTGTGATGTGTACGTCCTCATGTTCGCGGTGGTCGGTGCATCACTTTGAGTTCAGTCACAGTCGGGATCGTCGGATGAACGAGTTCGACAATGAGCAGCCTGCTGAATCACCAGCGAAAAGAGAGCGTGACTGAGAACTCGTTTTGTCTCTTCCGCAAATCTGTCGGTACGATGCGGCATGGGTTCGACGAGAAGCAGGCATTTCCAACCGCCGTCCGAACGTCGCCTGCTGAGTCGCCGTGCATCCAGCCGTCTGGTTGTCATCATCCGCGGCTCTTCTGTCAATGCGGACTCTCCTCTCGAAGAGGGAGGGGAGGGGAACGGACAGGGAACGTCTTGGCGGCAAAACGAAGCGGCAGAACGGTCGAGAATGTGTCACGTCGCCCAAGACACACCACTACCACCAGGAGGGGAAGCATTCGGCGTGCGGGGAGCGAAGATTCTCCGCATGAAACCACTGAATCATTAGTTTCGGTCGCATCGGGGAGCTTCCGCAGGCGAGGCATTGGATAAGAAGTTCCGGCGGTCATCCTTGTGTGTGTTTCGTTCCTTGCCGAAGGTGTAAATGTCAAGGCGGGCAGCTCGAGCGGCTGCGGCGGCGGCGGCGGCAACCTCGGCACCTGCTGGCTCGGCTTTGGTAGGCGAACAGTCTGGTGATGGCCTCGTTCTCGTGAACGATTGTCGTGTTTGACATTGCGTTCTCCACGGGTTGTTTCGTCAAGCGGAGCAGCGAACAGCATCATCCACACTTACCGTCTTCCTCACTGTTCACAATGACACCCCGACGTCCCATCCGCATCGGTAACTGCTCGGGCGCCATCAACGACGGCATCGACCAGATCTATCGTCTCGCGAAGTACGGCAACGTCGACGCCATCACAGCCGACTACCTCGCCGAGTTCAACATCGCATGGAAAGCCATCGAGCTGCAGACGCGTCCGGAGCTGGGCTTTGAGCCCAACTTTCTCGAGCAGCTTGCCTGGCACGGCGGCGACGCGGCACGCCTGGTGGCCGAGAAGCGCATCAAGATCGTTCACGATGGCGGGGCGCTGAATCCTCGGGGGCTGGCCGAGCGGACAGACGCGTACTTTAGGAGTCTTGGCATCGGTGATGTCAAGGTGGCATGGGTCGGCGGCGATAACGTGACGGAGGCGGTCAAACGTGGCGCGTTCGGGCGAGTCATGCATCTCGACCAGCCCGGCGTTGAGTTTGATCCGCGGGCTGAAGGGGCCGGCGGCGAGGAGGCGCTTCTAGCTGCCAATGCGTACACCGGGTACGCGGGCATCGTGAGGGCGCTGGAGGCCGGGGCGGATATTGTCGTGTGCGGCCGGTGTACGGATGCGAGTCCGGTGATGGGACTCGCGAGGTGGTGGCACGGTTGGACGGGGACGGCGTACGACGCGCTCGCGGCGAGCCTTATGGCCGGACATCTAATCGAGTGTGGCCCGTATGTGACGGGCGGCAACTACTGCGGCCAGCGTGAAGTTCCGAACCTCCACCACGCCGGCTTCCCGATTGCGGAGATTGCGGCGGACGGCGCGGTGGTGATCACGAAGCCGGAAGGGTCTAACGGGCTTGTGTCCGTTGATACATGCAAAGCGCAGCTATTGTATGAGATACAAGGGTCCTTCTACCTAAACCCGGACGTCATTGCCGACATCGAGAATGCCAAGTTCAGTCAAATATCAAAGGGGCGTATTCAACTATCTGGAATCAGAGGACTGCCTCCGCCTCCAACAGCCAAGCTGGCCATCTGTCTGCTGGGAGGATTCCAGGCGGAGATCTCTGCCTACGCGGCTGGTCTGGACACCGATTTCAAGTTCGAAGTGTTGAAGAGCCAAGTCATGGGACAGATCAGCCAGTCAGACTTTACAACCTTCAGCATCGAGAAGTACGGCTCGGCAGCAACAAATCCGCGGTCGCAAAAGGCAGCCACCGTGCAATTTCGGATGTTCGCCCAGTCTCATAAAAAGGAGGCCTTTGAGCAGTTCAAACGCGCTGTATTCTACAACGGCTTACAGGGCTACTGTGGACTGCATCTGGGGATGGATTGGCGCACGATGGAGCCCCGGCCGTTTGTGCGGTACTTCCCCGCGTTGATACCACAGTCCAAGATCCCCTTGTCCGTCAGTTTTGTCAAGGGCCTGGAGAACATCACGGTTGAAGCAAGACAAGAGACAGACTGCGGGTCAATACCTCGTCAACATGATTACGATCCTCCAACACCATTGACAAAGGTCTCCCCATCACAGACGTCCAAAAGGCCGCTGGGAGATTTGGTCTTTGCCCGTAGCGGGGACAAGGGCGGCAACGCGAACATTGGGTTCTGGGTACGGCACAAGTCAGCCTGGCCGTGGCTCCAGGCATTTTTGACAAAACAGAAGTTCATCGAGCTTCTTGGCGATGACTGGCAGGGCAGATACGTGGTGGAAAGGTGTGAGTTTCCAGGGCTCTGGGCGGTGCATTTTGTAGTCAAGGGGATACTACAGGATGGGGTTAGTAGCAGCAGTGTCCTAGATGGGTTTGCAAAGAGTGTAGGCGAGTTCCTCCGGGCGAGAGTGGTTGACTTACCCCTGGATCTGGTCAATCTTGAAGACTGGCGTCGGAGATCAGCAGAGAACATGGCTGAGCAGGCCAGATTATGATATCTGCCGAGGTGTATCCAATACAACCCCAGATGATTCCGAAGACCATGATATGATTCAATGCTACACTTCCGATGATGACCGAACGTTGTTTACTCTTCGTCACGTCTTGGACCGAGGACAAACAAGCAGCTCAGCTGCGGGGAACCTCGGCCGACAAACCCGGGGAATACAGGCAAGCCGGCCACTAAAGCGCACTGCCGACAGGGAATCATCTGCAGCCAACTGTCATATTTAGCGGCCTGCTGCCCCTGTAGCCGTATCCCGCCGATATCATCCGCGTTTTCATTTCCACCTCGTCATAATACGTCCCGAACTTACACGCACCCGAGCCAGATATAACCCGTGAGAGATGGCCTCTAGTGATGTGCCCGTCAAGAACGCTTCAGGCCGTTACGACAACGTAGATTTTCGGAAAGCAGCAGGTTATCAACATCCACCCATCAAGTGCAGCTACAACCGCCGCGATGTTCTCCTCTTTGTGAGTCCAAATCTTAGACACATCACAGGCTTGGCTGTAAATCACATCACTAACACGCGCCCAGGCCAACGCGATTGGTGTCAAGAAAGACGAGCTTCACTTCCTCTATGAGCTCCACCCTCACTTCGCCGCCTTTCCCACTTTTCCCATCAACCTCGCCTTCAAGCAGACAGACCAGGATGTTTTCGACTTCATCGCGCGGACAACGTCGGGCCAGGTTCCAGGCGTTCCGCCTTTCGACGCTCAGCGTTCTGTAGACGGTGAAAGAGGCATCGAGATCATCCGTCCAATTCCGGTGTCCTCGGCTGGCTTGGACTTGGAGGTTCGGAATAAGGTGATTGGGGTTTATGACAAGGGTGAGTGAAGATGGCAAGACATATGATAGGGCCAGTGATGCTAAATCAGATGTGCAGGTGGCGCCATGATCTTGGAAGCAGAGCAGCTGCTTGTCGACAAAAACACAGAAACCGTTTACACCAAAATGACCTCCACTGCATTCGGCATCGGACAGGGAGGCTACGGCGGGCCCCGTGGACCGGCAAAACAGGCCGTGACGCCCCCGGACCGCCGGCCGGACGCCGTGCACACGATCAAGACAACCCCGGAAGCCGCCCTCCTCTACCGCCTCTGCGGCGATTACAACCCGATGCACGCCGACGAGGCGTTCGGTCAGCGTGCTGGGTTCAAGGGCTCCATCCTCCACGGCCTCGGCACGTGGAACATGGCCGCCCACGGTCTCCTGCAGAAGCTAGGCGACAGCGATCCCAACCGCTTCAAGGCTTATGGCGCAAGGTTCAAGAGCGTTGTTTATCCCGGAGACACGCTAGAAACTCGCATGTGGGTGGTCAAGACCGAAGGAGGGATGGACGATGTCATATTTGAGACGGTCGTTAAGGAAGACGGCAGAGTTGCGCTGTAAGTGTTGCCCTATCGCCCGGCCAAGTGATATCGGCGGCGTGATAAGATTGAGTGGCTGACAATTATTCCAGATCGAATGGATATGCCAAGATTGCAAATGCGAAAGTGAAGCTGTGATGCGTCTGCCGAGAGTCCGGAAATCCGGATGGACCGGGATGTGTTGGCAGACTGCACAGCATAGATTTATTGTAATCAACATCTGATGCAGAGTTCGCGCCAAGTCTCATCTTCGTCCAAACGTGGACTAGATCGCGAAGTTTGATCTGCCCGTGTCACACGACAAATACCATCGTGAAAAGAATCTCCCGAGTCAGAAAGTGACCAAGGCCTTCTTTTGCTTGAGTCGATGAACGGTGACAAGGCCAACGGCTCATACCCGTGCGGGACACCGTGGGCTCTATGAGCCGTTAAGCACAGCCCCATAAACGCGACCGTTTTGTTTCTAATCGTGGCTTGGTGACATGCGCCAAGGGCTTATGCATCACAGACATGAGACAAAAAAAAAAAAAAAAAAAAAAAAAAAAAAAAAAAAAAAAAANCACCTGGTGGTGATCGTGCATTTCCTACTGATTGGCAAAATAATGCGCCGAGGGGGAATCGAACCCCCGGCTCCCCGACGCTGCTGGATGGCAACGGAGAATTTTACCACTAAACCATCGGCGCTGTTTATTGGATGACAGGAACGGTCAATCATTTCATTATGATGGCCAGGTGCATGGTCCACTCTGTGAAGCCGCCCAAAATCGCACACTTACAGGTGCGATGGATACCATTTTGGATCTCTCTTTTCGCGGTAGGCCGCAAGTCCTTCTGACGCGTTCTTACTTCTGAGCATCGCCTCCGCCCAAAGTTCCTGTCCGCGCATGGTTGCTCTGCTGACCCCGGTCTCCCAAGCTTCCCTGGCTGCTAATCTCGAGATGATAACGCTGTCGGGACTCAATGCCGCAATCTCGTCGGCGTAATCCAGTGCTCTCTCGAGCAGCCTTTCTTGCGGCACGATCTCTTTAACCAATCCCCATTCCCGAGCTTCTTCCACCGACATTGTGCGACCCGTGAGGATCAGATCCATCGTGCGATGGTTCCCAAACAGCATCATGCACCGCGGCAAGGCGCCCGCAAGAGCTGACACGCCGCGGAGGACTTCAGGGAGTCGAAATGTTGCGTTTGGCGAGGCGAAGATGACATCCGCGTTGAGTATCGCTTCGAAACCGCCGCCTGTTGAAGTTTTGGATCAGTGGCTGCACACCTCAGGACAATTGCTCAAACATACCGTGAGCATGCCCGTTGCATGCGACAATGATGGGTTTTCGCCCAGTCCTATTGCTCATGCCGGCAAACTGCCCTTGCGGATATTCAAACGCGACGTCGTTCGTCTTGATAATGTCCAGTCTTTGCTTCAAGTCCATTCCCGCGCAGAAGGCTTTATTTCCGGCGCCTGTAAATACGGCGCATCGCAGCTCCGGCTCAGCATCGTACCATTTCCATAGTGCGCCGAGCTCGATCGTTGCCTCCACAGGGAGGCAGTTCATGTGATCCGGCCGATTGATCGTAACAAGGAGGATATGTTTTCGTGGGAAAGATATCAAGCTATGTTCGATGTGAGGATATGGGTTTTCAATCCACGACGGGACGGGATTCTTCGTTCTCGGCGTCGACATTGTCGTTGTTCGGGGCCTTCGGCTGTGCTAGTTGTCTTCAAACTTGATGTTTACTCTCGCTTCATCAGCGCCAGCTTTGCTAACCAATACCGACACAACAAGTGCGCTTGAGATGGTCAATCAGCTCGGTCAAGATTCATTCTACCTCCCAAGCATCCAACCGATAGCCGGGACTGTGGCACGAAGCCATTCCGAGGCGCGCGTCACCACACAACCGAGCACCCCAGCTCCAGCTGCACAACCGCGGAGACGGACGACCACTTCCGCAAAGCCAACATAACACAGCCCCCAACTCTCTCTAACAGCCGTTCCCCTCGCAAGCATCCCACGCCAGAAAGTGAATCATTAGCGCCCCTGCAGGAGGGATCATCCCCCACGTCGCGTATCACTGCGGGGGAACCCACGCTTCCCGTCCTCCCCCCGTTCCCCGCTGTAAAGACGCCGGAAACGTGTTTCCCGTCCGTTGCGATTGGGTAGCGGGCCATGTGCACCAGCGAGTCAGTGCCCCCTTTACCGCAACTGAACATGGAGCAGCCACCGTCTTGGACTTTCCCAGTGTTCTGAGCATCGGGGGTGCGTGCCATGCGAGCCTCACACCCAGCCGCCGAGGCAGGCTGCGGGAGGCTGTGGAGCGGGGGGATTGTCCGTGAGCTTCGACATTCTTTCTAGAGTCTTGAAGGGCCGGGATCATCCTGCTTGGTTTAGACTTCCTGGTCGACGGTGGCATGTGGCAGCCGCTGCCATTCATCACCGTCTGTGCCATTGTCTCTGGCTGCCGCGATAGCTTCTCTGTCTTGCGACGATAGGCTCAACATCATCCACCATACTCGCCCGCGACGTCCGATTTGATACCAGTCACCATGGGAGAATCACCAACAGAAACGCCGCCGCCGGCGACTCCTACGTTTCTCAGGCTATCTTACCCTGCGCCTCGGGTCCTCCTCGTCCGCATGGACAGACCCAAAGACCTCAACGCCATGTCCACAGCCGCGCAGTGGGAGATGGACTCGGTATGGAAGTGGTTCGACCAAGAGCCGAAACTCAGCGTCGCGATTATCACAGGCACGGGAAGAGCATTCTCCGCAGGGGCAGATCTCAAGGAATGGAACAACAGCATGGCTGACGACGCCGACCCAAGCAAACGAATGGGAAACGCACCCGCATTCAAACCCCTATCTCGACGCCTGGGCAAGAAGCCAGTCATAGCAGCGGTCAATGGCCTTGCGATGGGCGGTGGATGCGAATTTGTCGTCAACTGCGACCTCGTCGTCGCCGCAGACGACGCATACTTCGGCCTACCAGAAGTCAAGCGCGGCATCGCGGCAATAGGCGGCGCCCTGCCACGACTCATCCGCACGATCGGTCTCCAACGAGCGAGCGAGTTCGCCCTGACGGGGCGCAATGTATCAGCGCAAGAGATGGAACAATGGGGAATTGTGAACAAGGTGGTGCCCAAGGACAAGGTCGTCGAGGAAGCGGTGCGTTATGCGCAGATGATCGCCATCAACTCCCCGGATGCCATCATCTGTACCAGGGCTGGGCTGAGACAGGGCTGGGAGACGGCCGCGGTCGAGAGAGCGGTCGAATGGACCCTCGAGAAGGAATTTGCGGAGCTGCAAAAGGGGGAGAACATCCTCGAGGGCCTCAAGGCATTCTCTGAGAAACGGGAACCCCGGTGGAAAGGCAGCAAGCTGTGACGAGCCTCATGCAAATGGGTTTGTTTGAGAGGGGAAAATAAGATCCCGTGTTGAAAAAGCCACCTGCGCATCCGTGCCGGATGAACTAGTTCTGTGTGTTCTACATGCTTCAATGCTTCTCATCCTGCCGGTTGATGTTTGGCCTGAATAGACCCTTCGTCCGAAACCAGTCGAGGGAGGAAGAAGCCAGGTCCAACCTACATTTGGCTATAAGAGATCGTCTTCAGGACCCGGCTTGCTAGGTCCCGGGAAGTTGGGTTGGCAGACGCACATCGATGTCACTAGATGCAGGCAGAGACCAGGTGGTGGGATCTTGATGTCCATAGTCCGCCACGAGCTAAGCAGCCTATTCTGCAACCAAGGCCAGTTTCAACTACCATAGAGCGCCTCAATCGCACAAAGGAGTATCCCACATCGCCATTTTTGAGTCAGCGTAAGCTAATGAATCAGCGCCCGTCACATCCAGAATGCGACACCCGGACATTGGGCCAACACGTAGGGCGCTCGGCTCGTGCGGTGGTCTTCCCCGCAGAACGGCGCAGGGAGAGGCCCCCGCCCCGCGAGCAGGACTCCATGAAGGAGTTTCGAAGAGGTTCGAGTTTTCCGGGGGACACCTGGCGTGCGTATGCCGTGTGAACGTGTAAGACGGTGAAGCCCGGACGGCGGCAGAAAAGATCGAGTGAAGGGAGTGTCAGCCACAGACGGGACGGGGCAAACCAAGACTTGCGTGTCTGGTAGTGTCTTGCTTGCTTGAGGGGTTCATCTCACCCTTATTCCGTCAATCAATCCTCGACGCTTGCCACATATCCAGCACCGGTGGTTTTCGTCAATGGAAGGAAACACAAAGGCTGTATAAGACTTCGAGCACGGCCTCGAGGCGCATACTCCATTTACATCGTCTAGCACCTACTCGGCATTTGTTCTCAAGTCCATCGAAATCCGGTACTGCTATTGCGAGCTGGCTCCCGCATAACGACATCCCGATATCCCATCATGGATATCTCCAAGAACGAGTCCGTTCGCGAGTTCGAACGGATGGACACCTTGGAGAAATACATAGAGAATGACCGAGACGATTCCGATTCGATTCGATTCGAAGCTCTTGGAGATGATCTGCCTCCCGGTTACTTCTGGTCTCCTCGATTCCTGGGTGCTATGGCGGTTGGTCAAACGTGTTGTTGGAAGAGGGGCTCGGCGGTCGCTGACATCACAATAGGGTTTCTGTCTATCTGCACTATCGGCATACATCTTCTTGATCCTGCCGACCAACGTTTTGACATTTATCAACGCCGATATTGGTGAGAACATCATCTCGTTGTTCATTTTGCGACATTATACTTATCATTCCAGGTCCGAGTCCATATATCTCTTGGGTCAACATTGCCCGAACGCTCTCCCTTTCCTTTACTTACACCATTCTCGGCCGCTTGTCCGATCTCTTCGGTCGACGATGGTTCTTCATCGGCGGCAATTGCGTCGCTATTGTAGGCATCATTGTTTGCGCCGTTGCGCAAAATGTGAACACCCTCATCATCGGCGCAGCGATCTACGGGTTAGGAGAGACGGTGCAGCTGAGCTTTAACGTTGCGGTTGGCGAACTGGTTCCCAACAAGTATCGACCTATGGTTCTTTCCTGCATCTTCGCGACAAATGCGCCCATCGCCACCTTTGGCCCCATCATCGGTAAGTCTAGCATTTGCACAACTCCGACCTCATATCTAATTCAACGGCAGCTCGCAAGTTCGTCGAGAACCCCAAGCTGAGTTGGAGATGGTGCTTCTACATCAACATCATTGCCGTTGGTCTTGCCATCGTCCTTCTGTACCTGTTTTACCACCCGCCAACGTTCGAACTCCTTCATGACCGCAAAACCAAGAGACAGCTGCTCAAAGAGCTTGATTGTAAGTCCAACATGTTACATTTCGTCTGACCCGCCGCTGACCCCTGACGAAGATCTCGGAATTTTCTTGTGGACCGCCGGCTTGACCCTCCTCTTGATGGGTGTCTCTTGGGGTGGAGTCATGTTCCCCTGGGACTCCGCAGCAACTATCTCAAGCTTGGTTATCGGCGTTGGCCTCCTCGTTGCGCTCTTCTGCTGGGAGGCGTTCGCGAACCTTACATATCCTGCCATTCCCGTCAAGTTCTTTGCCAACCGTGGCTTCATGGCTCTCGTCTGCTGCGCAACGGTTGCCAGTATGTTCTACTACTCGGCCGTTCTCCTCTGGCCTCAACAGGTTCAGGCCTTATACACAACGGATATCAACTACGGTGGCTGGCTCTCTTCTACAGTGGCCAGCTCGACTGCACTTGGCCAGGTGTGTGCCGGTGCAATCGTCAAGTGGGGAGGAAACGTCCGATACTGGATCATCTTCTCGACCTTCGCCATGGTTGGCTTCGTCGGCGCTCTCGCCTCTTTGACCCCTGAGACACTGAACACTGGTATCGCCCTCACGATTCTGGGCCCTTTCTTCGTAGGATTCATCGAGCTCGCGTCACTCGCTTTGGCACCCCTCTTCTGCAAGCCGGCAGACATCGGTCTGGCCTCGGGTCTGCTGGCATCCATCCGTTCCGCAGGAGGTTCTATCGCCGTTGCTGTTTACACCTCGATCTTGTCCAACCGTCTCGCCACCACCATCCCCGCGGCAATCACCCAGCCAGCTACTGCTGCAGGATTCCCCGCCAGCCAGATTCCCGCGCTCGCAAAGGCAATCCAAGGTAACAAGTTGAAGACCTTTCCAGGCTTGAGCACGGCTGTCAAGGAAGCCGTCTCTAAGGTCCTGCCTACTGCCTACTCCAAGGCATTTGAGACCGTTTATCTCGCTAGTTTGGGTTTCGGAGCTATCGCCATTGTCGGCTGCTTGTTCTCGATGGATGCCCAGAAGCACCTGACCAACAAGGTCGAGCGTCGCATGAGGTGATGAGCATAATAGTTTGGCTTCGCAGGAAGCCAAGGGGAGGGGGGTATTGCAGCGAACCAACAACCGCTGAGTGTGTGTGGGAATAAGTGTCGCTTTGATAGCAGACTTTTGGAGTGTTTCGATCATATCACAGCAAGCAGCCAGCGAGTTGTTTAGTCCCTGTTTGTTCTCTGGAGCACATCAATCAAACTGGCCCGAGTGCCACTTCAGAAACCCACGAGACGGAGAGCTTTCTGACTTTTCACGAACCAAAATCGTGGCGTAAACAGTGACATCCTCCCTACTGTGCGAGTGGCTGACCCCGCAGCAGACCCTGGCCCGGATGTCTTGTTTCTCTGGGGTACCCCAACACGACTTGCACGTCGTTTCTACTTCGCTAGGAAGACACATCCTCTTCCCTTGTCAATTAGACCTCTCATCACCAATTCGAAGACCCATTATGCCTCGACGGCCATCTATGTCGGCCTCCGTTCAGTCGGCCACGTCTCCCTCCTCGGTGGGCTCGTCGACGGTCCAGGAAAGTTCTGGGATGACACAGCAGAATGTCGAACTGCAGAAGAAGCGGGCCAGAGACAGAAAATCTCAACAAGCCATGCGTGATCGTAACAAGTGGACGATACAGAACTTAAACGACCAAATCGCCTACTTGAATTCTGCGATGGAGGAGAGGAGCCAAGATGTTGCCATGCTTCAAACACGAATTGGGGTTCTCGAGAGTGAGAACGCACAGCTCAGAGCACAGAATGCTGCACTGCAGCTGAGCCTGATGGGACGAAATGATAACTCTGGACCCGGCGATGACTCCTTCGTATTTGAAAGACGGCTTTCTGATAGTCCATGGGAGCTACCTTCCCGGAATACTGCGCCGGGTTGCATTGCGGACCAAGTCTTACAGGGCTTCGTGGATTCCGTTCGATCTGGCAGTATTCTGACATCCACATCCTCCTATACCCTCAAGCCCAAGGTTTCCGCATTGGTGCAACAGCAAGGAAGATCGGAAGATGATATCAGCAACGTTGTTGCAGACGTCGTACGGACGTATCCCGAGATAGAGACCCTCCCGAAGCAAGTAGCCGTATTTCAGAATATGGCACTACTTTTGAAGGTATGTGCAATCTATGGCTAATGATTCGTTATGAATACAAGCTGATTCATTGCCTTAGTGGATGGTCCTCCTCGACAAGCAAAGTTGGGATCTAATGCCATCCTGGTTGAGGCCAGTGCCTGCACAGCTCACCACACCACATGCCGCCTGGATTGATAGAATTCCTTGGTAGGCGGACTCTGTAATAGCGGCGTAGTTTGATCCAGTATTAATGCTAACAATACCAGGCCTCGAGTTCGGGAGTATCTTATCGCGAATCCCGACATCACCCTCGACGACTGGGCAGCCACCTACAGCTCGAGCTTTGATGTAAGCTGGACCTACGAGCCTTCATTGGTCCTCATCACTGTGGCTACAGATGGTCCCGAAATGTCTGAAATAACCATCAACCCGGTCTACGAAGAACATCTACGGCAGCTGAAGAACTGGACGGTGGGCAGTCTGTTTCGCCAGCGAGTTCCCGAAATCGCAGACCTCATAGATCGGGACACCCTGGAAAACGGAGTCTGTGGTGAATTCAATACTTCATGATATTGCTAGACTGTTTGGTGCTATGTCAGCCTCATGACGACCTGAAAATGCCATCCGTGTGAAGACCAGTCAGTCACCTATTCTCCTCCACTGAATCATCAAACTCTTCCTAGGAGCTGCCCGTTTACTGACCCCACTGGGCAAAATCTGGGGTGCAGCGAAGCAGCATAGGTGGGTTCGCGGAGTTCGATAACCGGACTGTTGGATATCGAGGTTGCAGATTGCGGGGAAACGTGCCCGAGAAGTGCGCTAGAACCTTTTATGCTTCTCGGTTTGATGGGGACCCGTAACAGGCGACTCATTTTCACTTGAAGCGTGGGGCCACAAAAGCACAGCCGGCTACGAAGATTCGAGCGAAAGTTGACAAAGCCCGTCATGTTAAGTCGCCAGCCGCAGACCTTGATGACTTCGACAAGCAAGCTAGCTCTTCGGTGCCCATCCTATCGCACTATACGCATCATCATCCGGGTAATGGGAGCTTTTGTGCAATGGTTCTGTGTCATAAAAAAACCTTCGGCCTTTCTTCTAGTAGCTGAAAGCTTTTGTGACTACACCTTAATTCAAGGGGTGATGGTATCTTCAAGCAGAAGGTGGTACATGAGCTCCCTCGGTGTGCAATCATTGTCCCAAGGATTGTCCCAAGGCGTCGGTTCTGTAACTCCCAGCGCTGAAAACATCTCTCTCACATCACACAGGGTCTGCCCCATGTCACACCCAACTACGCCTCCTTCCCAAGACTCACTGTCTACTAGACGACAACTGTTTTCGTGATCCCCGTCGCATTCCCATTCAGTGAAGCTTATAGTTCTGAGGTCAGGAAACTTGCCACCCTCAACTTCTTTAGCCAACCAGATAAATTCTTCTCTGTAGCCATCGATGTAGCCACTGATTTTCAAGTGTTTCAGCGACGGTTGAAGTTCTCGCAGCAAACAATCGCTGCCAAAGCCCAATTCATCCACAGTTATCTTTAGTAATTCTAGACAGGGCAGTTTAGTGAGGGAACGAAGGCGCGTTGCCGTGTCTCCCCACCCGCCTATATCTAGCTTGAGAACTTTGAGACTTTCGCCGTGAAATGTTAGAGCCGGAAGAATATCTTCCAAGTCGTCGTAATCAGTAAGCGCCCACAAGGCAAATTCTTCCAAACGCCCACAAGATTTGATCCACCTGGGAGTGTCTTCGACAGGGATGACGCCTCTTCTTGCCAATTTGAGCTTTACGATGCGGCTCCAATCCATGCCCTCAAACTTCCCACAAGCGTTGATTCCATAAAAGCTGTTGATGAAAGGGGCGAGTTTCAAGAGAGGGAAGATTTGATCGAGTAGAACAGGCCATGTGCCATGACTGGCAACGAAACGTAAATCCGTCAAATTTCGCAAGCATATGGAAGTCTCCCCCGGAAATGGCAAGGCTTTGAAGAAATATTCCGACTTTTTGTCCGCCGTGATAGATAATTGTCGAACATTCCGCGCCTGGAGGATTGCGATACCTGCCAGTATGGATAAGTTCTCTGTCAACGTATGCCAGTTTTCTGGCAAAGCGAGGTTCAAGCTTTTGACGATGATCTGAAGTTCGGCAACATCTTCGCTTTTGATTTTCTCCTTCTTTCGGTTGATTCGCTCCCAGTCGACGTGAAGGTCAAGCACATATGCGGCGATTTCAATGCGCAAGTGCCAGTATTTCACAAGAGCTGGGAGACTTGAAGGCTGTGATCCTTTCAAAGACACATGACTCCAGATCCTAGGCTCGCACAGGACGCGGAATGTACGACACACGCACGAGACTGGCCCCAAACTACCTCGTCTTTTCAAGAAGAGGTCGAGTTAGCCGATGGCACCAGAGTGCATTATGGATGATGACGGTGGCACGAACACTTCAGAGATGATTTGGTCTAAAATCTCGCAGGGGAGCTCTAAGACGTGGAGTCCTGCCATGAGAAATGCGAAAGAGCGCTGGCGCTGCAACTTGATTGGTCATGGGTGGGCGGGTGAGTGTGAGGAGCGCATTCTTGACCTGGATTGCGTCGTCGAGGTAAGAAAAGTTGGCAAAATTCAAGCCCACCGCGTTGGTAGGAGTACGCCTTAATATGTTTAGTCAGCAACTCAAAGGAACGTGACGTGTCTCGTGAGATCTTTTGATTGGGCAGCATCGGCTTCCAACTACCACGCCATGTAACTCGGATTATTTGCCTTCGGTGGTAACCTGCAAGAATGGAAGTCAAAAGAAGGGGAGAAAACATTGAATTGTGATTGAGCGTAATCGTGTGATATACTCTGAAGAACATGCCCACTAATCATTTCTGTCAGGAATCGGGAGAAGAGCGGCTGCACCTAAGCGTCTTGCATACCTACAAGGGCATGGGGGGCGATTTGTGGTGGACCTGATAAACTGTCAATCCATCATGCGCACCAAACCAAAATTTTGGGTGTCGATAGACGAAAACACGATGTTCTTCGCAAGTGCTGAGTGGGAAACAATATTGAATGACATCCGGCTTCATTGGAAACGTAGATGCGGAACTCCGCATCCGTGGGCATCCTTTCATCGGAGCGGGGAACAGGCCGAAACCTACCGGCACACGGAAACATATTACCGGCTTCTGTAGTCGCGGACGAGCCTTTGAGTAAGATCAACTTATACAGAATAGAACTTGAAGGTTATTCAATTGCCAACTTCACGTAGGTCAATATCATTCTACAATCTCTCACCATGACTTTCGCACAGCAATTCTCCGACAAAGTTATTGCCATCACTGGTGGTGCCTCTGGCATAGGTCTCGCAACAGCCCATCTCCTTGCTGAGCGAGGAGCCAAACTGTCTCTCGCTGACGTCCAGGAAAAGGCTCTTCAACAAGCTCAGTCTGATATAAAGTCCAAGTACCCCGAAAGTGATGTCCTCATTTTTACTGTGGACGTCAGGAACTACGAGCAGGTTGACAAGTGGATCACAGAGACTGTGAAGCATTTTGGAAAGCTTGACGGAGCGGCAAACCTGGCTGGAATCATCCCCAACTCAATCGGTCTCAAAGGAATCGACGAGCAAGACTTTGACGAATGGGACCTCATTCTCAGTGTCAACTTGACTGGGGTCATGCATTGTCTCAAGGCTCAGCTGCGTGTCATCGAGAACACAGGAGCAATCGTTAATGCAAGCAGTATTGCTGGCCTTATTGGGCGGAACAAGAACGCTTCATACGTAGCCAGTAAGCATGGCGTCATGGGCTTGACGAGAAGTGCTGCAAAGGAAGTTGGGCCGAAGGGCATTCGAGTCAACGGTATCTGCCCGTAAGTCTTAACCAAAGTCTCTCCAAATAGAATGAACTAATAAATATAGGGGTAAAATTGATACACCAATGTCGCAGGCATCCAGGGACATGAAAATTGTCGTCGAGCCATCTTTGAAGCGGGTTGGCCAGCCAAGGGAGGCGGCAACCGTGATCGCTTTCTTGCTTAGTGATGAAGCAAGTTACATCTCAGGTGCTGCTATCGGGGTTGATGGTGGGTGGAACTGCTGAATGTGTGTATATCGCCATGAAACTATACCTATGTAACTTCACATCCGGAAGTAATATACAAAGGCTACAATTGTACAAGCTTCACAAGCAAATTCGGAGCACATATTGATCTTAATATGGACTGACAACAGGCTTCTGTCGAAGCTTCTTGTGTCGTTGGAAAATACTGAAAATGACAATAAGGCGTGTTCGACTTCAGTCACAATCTAGCTCTAGTCTGGTGTATCCTCCTCGCAATAGCTGCGAGCTCGCTCCTGATCAGCTTGCCTGAGTTATTCTTCGGAAGTGACTCGAGATGATGAAGCCCTCCTCTCAACCGTTTATAAGGGGCCACACGCTCCTCCACGTAAATTCTTATCTCATCCAACGTTTCTGAATGGTCCGCCTTTTCTGTCGAAGGTGGCAAGCAGACAAACCCGATCGGAACCTCTTCTCCCTCACCGCCCCGTGCCATTCCACATACCCCCGCATCCATGACCGAGGGGTGAGAAAGCAGTATAGCTTCCAATTCCGCTGGTGCGATCTGATTCCCTTTGTATTTGATCAGTTCTTTCTTCCTTCCAGTCAACCAAAAGTACCCATCTTCATCAACTTTGACAACATCTCCAGTACATAGCCATTCGTCTCTGAAGGCCGAGGCAGTTTCTGTCGGGTTGCTCTTATACTCCAGAAAGACTGTCGGCCCTTTGACCAGACACTCGCCTTCGTTGCCTATTGGTACGTCCTTGAAGTGGTCATCTACCACGCGAACGGTGACTCCAGCGGCAGGCTTGCCAACACTAGCACCCTTTTGTCCATTTCTTGTATGTCTGAGAAGGGTGATAGTGGCCTCGCTCATTCCATAGCCGTTGAGAACATTGGTTTCGGGTCCAAGAAGCCGCTTCAGCCCCTTCACCGTAGCGTCGGATAGTGGGGCACCAGAGCACATAACCGTATGCACCGAGGACAGATCTAGATTCCTTATCGCTGTGTCCTTCACCATTCGTACTGCTGCTGCCGGAACCAGTCTCAATACCGTTGCTTTCAGTTCAGAGCACCTTCGGAGGTACGGCAGGTACTCGAATTTCCTCATTGGCTGGACATGATTTCCTACCCAAGCCGGCAATAAAACTCCAGACACAATGCCGTATATGTGCGCGAAGGACGGAAAGAAAGCTTCTCTCATGTAGGCATTGTGCGTGAAAGGATTCGTGGCACGGAGTGTGAGGAGATACGCGATAAGGTTATGGTGAGAGAAGACAACACCCTTTGGTTTGCCCGACGTCCCAGAACTGAAGCACATCCCTGCAGGGATCTTCCGATTGTCTCGCCTGGAAAGATCGAAAGGCTGTATGGGGCTTTCTTTTGAAGACCTGAAATTCAAAGGAAACTGTTACCGTAAGTAATCTTGCCAGGCATCTTGTCGTGACAGGGCACTTCATACCCTAGGGTAGTCATCTTGCTTTCGAGCATTGCTCTCATCATCAATAACGAGCAGTCTTGGAGTTGTCCTCAACTTCAGTTGCTTCAAGGCTTCTAGGGCCTTGGGCAACAGCTCGTCGTCGACTGCGATTATGCTCGGTTGAGCCACAGTAAAGTAGTGAGTCAGCTCATGTGCAGTTGCCATGGAATTGATGCCACTGAAGATTCATCAGAGCTGAAGTTTGAATTGCATCCAGTCACGACATATACTTACCAGAAACACCCACCAGCCCACAGGATTGCGTGAGCCAGAGCTACCCACGAAATAGAGTTCGGGGCGAAGATGCAGACCACATCTCCTTGAAGCCCAAACCGTGAAATGAGAGTGGAGGCATCTCGTGCTGCATTAAAACGAAGCTCTTGAATCGTCAGAGTCTGCTGTTGGCTGTCGAAATCGCTCAAAATTTTCTGATCTGGGGGCACGTCATCTGGGTTGCTGCTGACGAGGAACTGCGAAACTGAAACATCCGACGGAACAGAAGGTGTTGGGTAAGGTGAGTGGTACATTGCGGTCCAGATGCAACTTTGAGGACTAACATCTACGGAAAAGAATCAGAAGTTTCAATATCTCAGGGCAGTTTGTTCTGTCAAGATGAGAGTTGATCTCAATTTGGGTACGCGCTGATGAGTTTAATGAATCATTGGTGCAACAGCATGCGCTATGAAAACGATTTGCCGTGTCATCTTCGCAGCACCTCAGCGAACACCGTAGCTGGAGCTGTAGCGGACACGGTGTAGCCGGCTTGAAACCAACCTACGGTTCTAGTTTTCCGGCCTTTGTCATTGGCAGGCAACTTTAATGGAAAATCCCGAAGTGAATCCTGGCTGTGTAAACACGTATTGACCATGGTTTCTCTTGTATAGTTGTTTGGACTTGAATGCAAATGCGTGGGTATTCTTGCTCCTGATTGCATGCGTTTATGTCCTTTCGGTCGGGGAGATCAATTTCGATTCGGGGAGGACCAAGATACATGGCAAAGATATTTTCTACCAAGATTCATAGTATCGAGAATCGCACGTGTGACGTGTGATGAACTCAGATAAAATGGGCTTGTCAATTATCTCGGTACGCATTACCTTCCTTCATGGGATCAATGTAATTGGAGTCGATCGCTTGAGCGACGATAAGTGAGCATCGACGTCGGGTGCACCGTTTCAGGGCCAGAAAGATGAGTAAAACGACTTCTCTCAAAACACACCTTCTGTACAAGAGCAGCCGTTTTTAACTCATCGCGGGTTGGACAGAAAAAGATGTTACGTATTTTGATTGGAGACTGACAGCGATTTTTCGAAGTCTTGGCAACTTCGCGGAACTCGTACCCATGTCAGAACACGCGGCTGGAATCCCAAAACCACCCATCGTCCCCGGAAACATCTTGTCTAGCGCGATGCCGAGCTCTAAAAAGACCATCCAGCTGCAGCCGGTCTTGGTCAAATAGCCCTCGTCGCAACGTCCACCGTTTTCCAAGCCTCCCGATGTTGCATTCGGTTTCCTACGGGCAGCACCTGTGCTTATCTGGAAAAAGCTTGGCTTTCTTGGCTTAACTAGCAAAGGTCTTGTCTCCTTCCAATTCCATCTTTAGTCAATAATATTGGTCTCGCCCGAACGCGGGGTAGTCGTCCAGCCATGCGTGAAAAATCAGCACGAAGGGCAATTAGTAGCTTCGGCCTGGTCCCGAGGTCCAGCATACGCCGGGACTCGCCAAGAAGTTTGTTTCCTGCCTTTCTGGGACCTGACGGGGACGTCGGAGGGTTGATAGATTTCAGTGATGTCACGAAAGAGCACGGCGGACAGATAAATACGATGGTTATGTCGCATTCATAGATGTCACTGCTGAGTAGGACGCAGCCCTGACAACGTGCGACTCACTTGCGTTGAGTTTTGAAGGAGCGAAGAAGTGCAACCGTCAAATCAGCACAACATGCGTCTCAACTCCATCACCAACGCAGCGGTCTTGACCGCTGTTGCTGTCCAGGCAAGGGAGCTCCCGAAGGATGAGGCTCGCGCTGCTGGTGTGTTCTCCTCTCGAGGAGCTATTCAAAGCACTTGCTAATTGTTGCAGAGCTCTATGACTCGGGTGTGATTCACGAGAGACTCATGGCCAAGAAGATTGTATGTACACAGCTCAGAAAGTATCTGTGATCGGGCCAAGTCTGACAATGATGTCTAGTCCCATTGGGAAGCCGAAGAAGCCGTGGGTCTCATGAACTCATCTCAGTGGCCCAGACTTGGTTACACCAAGTGTGTTGATGGCTACGCTGAGGCCATCCCCGACAGCCCTCTGCACAAATTCAAGTGCAAGAATGTAAGTGAACAGTTGTGACAAGTTAGCAAATCATGGCTCACGTCTGTGTCCTATGCAGATGGACCTCTACGACTTCATCAACCACGCGACGCTCGGTTCTCCGAATACCGATTACCGTGGTAAGAGCGGCAGCTCTTCATGGGGCTGGACCGACCCTGACTCTGGTCGGGAGTTTATTGGTAATCATTGAAAACACTGACACGATATCCCACGCACACTAACCGTGGTCATTTAGTCAGCGGTATGTTCGATGGATGTGCTTTCATCGAGATCTTGCCAGAGGGAAAGATGCTCAACCTCGGTTTCCTGTGAGTACAAGAATGATTTTGATGACATCACAGGATTATACTGACGCAATGCAGTCCGACCTATTCTCCTGTCGGCGACAGAGCTTACTGGCATGAGATCCGGCCTTACAAGAACTACATGCTCATTGGCAGCGAGCTTGAGGGCCACGGCATCCAGATCTTTGACATGACAAAGGTGAGAGCGAATCAAAGGCAAAGGTTTGACATTCGCCTAACTTGATAACTAGCTCCTCGACATTGATCCTTCAGAAGCCCCTATCCTCTTTTCGAATGACAAGGATCTTACTGGTCACTTCATTGAAACGCTTCCTTTGGGGCGTAGCCACAATGTTGTTGTCAACGAAGAGGCCAACTATGCCGTTGCTGTCGGCGTTCAACCGCGCAACGTGAGCTGCATGGGAGGTCTTTACTTCTTCAGCTTGGAAGACCCTAGCAACCCTGTTGCACTCGGATGCGATGGGCAAGATGGCTACGTTCATGATGTAGGTCTCTGGAGAAGCGAACTGCGTAAGCGTTTCAGGTCATGGCTGACATTTCTCGTCCAGGCTCAATGTCTCATCTACCGCGGACCCGATTCCAAGTACTTCGGGCGGGATATTTGCTACGGATACAACGAAGACACTTTGACCATGTAAGTTGTCATGGAGAAGTATGATTCATGTTTCCACCAGTCCTAATTTGGCTCCTCCTAGCTACGATGTCTCCGACAAGAAGGACTCCAAGATCATCTCTCGCACATCTTATGAGGGCGCCACCTTCACTCACCAGGGCTGGGTCAATGACGTCAACTGGCAAGGTATGTATCGACGACTGAATTGCCTGGAGTGAAATGGTACTGATGGTTCCAGAATGGCTCTTCATGGATGACGAGTACGACGAAGACGAGCTTGCCGGCCCGGCTGCGGATGGCTACCCAGTCACGTACATCTGGGACATCTCGAGTCTCGAAAAGCCTCTGCAAAAAGGGCTTTTCAAGCATAACGTCAAAGGAATTGATCACAACCAGTATGTTGTCGGCGACCTTCTTGTGCAGTCAAACTACGGTGCAGGTGTTCGGATCTGGGACATCTCATCGGTGCCCGAGGATCCCACCGGCAACAGCGTGTGCGAGATCGCTTATTTCGACATCTACCCTGAGGATGATTCTTTACCCGGAGGCGGAGCCATCCAGTTCTCGGGAACATGGTCTTCGTACGCATACTTCAAGTCGGGCTTCATTTTCGTCAACACCATTGAGCGCGGCGCTTACCTTGTGAAAATGACAAAGAAGGAGGCATGCAAGCCCAAGACTTGCAATGCAGACAACTGCCTGCGCGCTCTCAGAGCCTCTAGTGTACCAGGCCGGCTGGAGGAGTCTCAGGAGTTCTGTGGCGAGTTCACAAAGACTGTCGTTGCGGATGTTGCGGTGGTGCCTGCGTACGCTGCTGAGGCTTGCCCGACGAATGTGATTTCAAGGGTCAGCTCAGCTTGCTCATGCTTGCCAACACCGACTGTTTAAACCCGGATTATGAAGTCTAATCGAAGCGAAATTGACTAGTACTTTCGCAAGTAGCAGGCGGATCTGTCGGAGGCCACGTGCTTATACTTGGATGCCAATGATATAGCAAGTCATGGTTCACAGAGAAGATAAAAGTTCGCGTATCTGCAAGAACATTTGATTTTGTGGATATAATTTTTATACAAGAGACAAAGTGTGTACATGTACCAAAGACAAACAAACAACGCCGATCTAAATGCTATTCCTTGACAACCCTTTGCAATGAACCCCAGTGTCCAATTGCTTCCATCGCTTATGCATGTCCGAATTCCCAATCGATCAATTTTGCTCAACCATCAAGGGATGGAGCGCTTAGGAAGGGGGAGCAGTGCCGTTGGGGGGGCTGCCGCCGGCACCACCGCCACCGGAGTTGGAGTTCTCAACACCACCGGACTCGTAGCGGAAGGCGGCGGGGGTGACGGTCTGAGACAGGGTGGTGTTGATACCGAAAGCCATCCAAGCAAAGAGGCCGTCAGTGACGCTGTCGCCGAGGAGAGTGTACTCCATCATGGGGTCAACACCGTCGGTGGCAGTCTCCTCGGAAAGGATAGAGTCGTCGGCGTTGGTGGTGAGCTCCTGAGTGTTGGTGTTGTAGGGGGCGAAGGCCTCGACGGCGGAGATGAGGTCCTGGTCGAAGAAGGTCTGGCCGACGTGGGAAGCGGTGATCTCGTTGCCGAGGGTGCCGTTGGAGTAGAGGGTGGCGTTGTGGTGAACCATCAAGTGGATGTGGGTGGCACGGGAGGTGTAGTGGCCGGGGAAGATGGACTCGAACTGAGCAACACCATCCTCATCGGTGGGCTGGATGCCGCGGAGCCAGGTCTTGTCGATGTTGGTCTCGTCGGAGGAGTCGCCATTACCGCTGGCGACGATGCCGGAGTAGACACCGGTGGAGTTGCAGTGCCACATCTCAAGGTAGACGTTGGGGACAGGCTCGCATGTGTCGACGTCGATGACCTGGTAGTCAAGGACAATGTCGACACCCTCCTGTTCCTCGATGATGTTGCGGCGGACAGACTCGCCAGAGACGTCTGGTGAATGTGTTAGTATGGAGTGAAGATTGTGAAACGCCTGAGGGAGAGTGCTTACAGTAAGGACCCTGGGTGACCTCAGGGGTAAGGACGCAGGAGTTGTTGCCGGAGAAGAGAGTGGCGGCGTCGGTCTCGAGGGTGTAGCCAAGAGCAGTCTGGTTGTGGGACTCGGCGAGGACGGTAGCGGCGTCGCGCTTCTTCAGGCTGCGCTTCTGGCGGGCCTTCTCGACCTGGGCGGAGCGGCGAGCGACGTTGCGAGCAGTGACGCCACGAGCCTTAAGCTTATCGGCGCAGTGAGCCAAGCTGGCGCGCTTGACGTTGCTGAGGAAAGCGCGGCGCTCGGCGATCTCTTCGGTGAGGTCGTGGCCGGGGTGGGCAATGGCGCCGGAGAGGAGGGCCAAGCCGGAGGCGACGGTGGAAAAGCGCATGTTGGCTGTTTGTGACTGAAGTCTTGATGAAAAGAAAGTTGCTTATTCGACTTGTTGATGTGAACAAGAGGATGAGTTGGAAATGAAAGCGAGAGGTGGATGGTTGTAGAGTGAAGGTGATGCTGATGAGGATCTTCGTTTTCGGTTCTGGAGGGAATCGAGCTTGGGTTATTATACTCAATGAGATGACATCCAAATCAAAGCCATCCCCCACGAACCGCCTGAGTGCCATGATGGGAGTTCGTCGCATGAGTCCAACAGTGGAGCTCAACCCATCACAGCCATCACAATTAGCCTCCGCCATTGACTCGGGAGACGTGTACGGTGGCTCCGGAGGGCCTCGATTGCGTGGGCTTCCGCCGTGATGGTAGAACTAGCGTCCGATGCTTCGCCCCTGTCCCGCAACAGCAACGTCAACTTTCCTTACCCGGCGTAAGGTAGGGACAGTGGTACCGGGGAGATAGAGCCTCGGTCGGTGGAGCCTTTACACTAGACGAAGACGACGACGACGTTGCCCCCTTTGCCCAAATTGCCCCCCTTACTCTGTTTGGCGCAAAAGCCATCAACACCTAGATTCAACGTCTTGGCACGGGGCTAAGGGCGTCGTGGACGGCCGACTGGCGAATGACGGGTTGTGCATAACAAATCCACCCCGGACACCGGCATCCACATAGGCTAATTTTCTCTCGATCATATCCCGGCAGGGCGACGAGCGGAGGGCTCCGCGAGCCAGACCAAGCATCCGGATGTGGCCCTACACGCAAGCCTTCCGTCAAGAGTGGAGTCGGTGCCGCCGTTTAAGCCTCCTTTTGAACGGGATGGCATCCCACATGCCGAAACAAAGCCCACTTGGATGGCTTTGGCTTGTTGGTGAGGACGCGTTCATGGACTGGAATTGGCCAATCACACCCGGCTCGTTGTTTAACTGATGCTGTAAAAATAGACTACTAACCGAGCGGGAAGGCCAGCACACGTTTGCTGCGCAGTGGCTTCGGGAAGTTTTCTAAACTCTCAGGGATGCAGATACCTGTGCCTCCTTACAACAACATCCCGTCAGCTTGCGGGGTTTGGCTCTCCCGCGACCAACCACAACCTCCATTAATGAATTGGTTTATCGTGAGAGGTTACTACGTTGTTTACTACGCCATAGCCGAGAGTTGACATAGTAGGACTGAGCCGAGGCTTCTTGCCTGTAGGGCATGCTTTAGGCGTCTATCGCCGACGGACGTAAAAAGTGGCTCAGCTCGGGATGCGGGGGTGCTGCTGCGCGTCCCCGGGCCGGGTGATATCACATCTATTGGATTGTGTGATTCGTAGTCGCCTTGTTCTTGGCTCCCGAGTTCATCAACTTGAGATATTGTGCCTGGCTGGGAAAGAAGAAAATTCTTCGTTTAGAGCTTGTCCAGTGATACTGGTACATCCGTGATCGGTTGGTCTGAACTTCTGCAATTTTGAGACGGTGACAGGATGAGATCGAAACGCAACAAAGATCATGTTTCGTCCGATTGTCTGATGGCCCCAAATGTTTAGGCTCTACAAGTTGCACATGACGATCAACTCTTGTTTCTCGGTCCCCACGAGATAGCCTCAAAGCTTGGTCACGACGATCCAAAGGCTGCCATCAAAGTCCTTGGCTTACCACAGAGCTGGCGACCAATTGAGTTCTTGACGATGTCATCTCAGGAGCCACTACATGTTGCATTCTATCTTCCCAAAATACTTCTTATCGCAAGCTTCACAAGGATTTCGTAGCATCCCGTCAAGCAGCGGCCGGGTTGTCATGTCGAGCATCAAGGCTTTTCTCCCTTCCACCAAGCTCTCTCAAATTAAACCATCCTGAATCGTCAGCTCGACGTGAATTAGACAAGTGCCGATTGGACAATCAGACTCGAGGTTAAAGAAAGCAAGCATTCCGGGAGGCAGGCATTTTCGGGAGGTGGCATGGGCGGTGGGCGCTGTTGGGACGGGCCACTCCACGATGCCCACATTTGAAGGGATTAGGAGTTGGGAACGCGCAATGGCACTCCCTCAATCTACGATGGTGTTACAGCAACTCCTCATTTCCCTCATCCCACCGGTGCCCAATCATGTGTGTTGTCAGAATCTCTACCGGTAACTGTAAAGATCTGCCTTGTACGCGTACTCCTTTAAGCTGTCAGCCTGTCGGTAACATACATTTTCGGCGAGGCTCTGAAGACCCGAACCCGAACCGGTTCCTGGTCAGCGACCACCCGCACCGTCTCTGAAATCAAGCAAGGCTCTATCACTTGAGCTGTTTTTGAGTCTAAGAAGATTTCACCTATCTCCATCTCTACTGCGAAAATGTCTCAGCCAGACTCGCGGCTCTCATTGAGAACATGAATCGGTAGTTGTCCGATAGGTCGCTAACAACGCCGCAGGTGACGTACCGACGAGAGGCCCTTGAAGAGCACCGCGGAAAAGGGTGCGTAGCGGCTGCACAGCCTGCACAAATGCGTACCCAGGTCACAATTTTAAGAATTAGAGCGGTAAAAGACAGGGAGTCAGGGGTCGGTCAAGGGCCCGCGGGAAGTGGGAACAGTACGTACTGCGCCCTAAGCCACATCGTCATGCGCTCTCGACGATCCCAACTGGCGGAACGCGCCCGTTGACGCGTCTGCGACCGGCCAACATGCCAAATCCACCAGACTCGGCCGAGGAACGGCTGCATTTGTCATCCCGAATCAGAGGCGCTGCTGTCTCTGGCGCCATCATGGCGGGCCCACGAATTGATGTCGATGATCGAGACCGTCCGCTACAGTCCATCGTCTCTGAGAGTGGAAAGGGTCTGGTTGCTCAGCTGCTAGACGTCCAGAGAGCCATCGTCGACCAATCAAAACCTCTTCAATTCGTCAGGAAATTAGATGTCCTTTACTTCGAACCAGACAACAAACGCGGTGCAGAAAGCGATGATACTCGTTCTCCGGGGAAATGGCGACGTTGGAAAGGATTCAATGCCGAGGAGAGGAGCGACTACATCGCTGTGTCTTGGACATGGAATCCCGCGCAGGGTGAAGACCCGAGGTCCGGAGGCTTCCAGGTAGAGACATCATTGAAAGATGACTTTCAACCGTCAGGAGTGCGCGACAAGGTCTTCGAAAGAATTCGGCATTACACAAATGCCCAGCAAGAACATCTGAAGTACGTGTGGATAGACCAGCACTGCATCGTCCAAGAAGAAGGGCCAGAAAAGACCCAAGGAATGCAAGCGATGGACCTGGTCTACGGACTGAGCGGCCACCCAATCTCCCTTCTCGCAAGACTGATCAATTCCAAGGAGGACGTGCGTCTCTTGGCCGACATCCTCGAAGGCGCTTTTACTACCCACATAACGGGTTCTGCGGAGTTCAGGCTGAGTCCCCTGGCGGTATCATCGTCGCAGGTACTTCGGGATGCTATGGACCTTCTGGAAGCAATCACATCCGACTTGTGGTGGAGCAGGGCCTGGACCTTTCAGGAGAAGTATCTCAGCGAAAGCAAGATGAAGCTCCTGATCCCCCACTCCCCGGAGCTTGAAAAGGAGAAGAGGCATAAGAAGAAGGTCTTCGGCACAGCCGTTGGCGAGCTATGCATCAAGTCTATCGACTTTCATAGACAGGTGACTCAGCTTTGCCTAGCCTGTAAGAAAGAGAGGCCGGATCTGGCCGCCAGTGCAGATCGCATTCTCGGAAAGGCCTCCAACTACGAGGTCTTGCTCAGAGATACGGCCCCTGACGCACAGTACCTGACTCGATGGTCCCAGTCGCCGAGGATAATCAAAGACATTGAGCCACGTGAAAGCAAATTTTGCTCCGACAGGCTGGCGATCATCGCCAACTGCTGCCAATATTCCACCAGGCTGGACGATGTGAAATTGCGGAGAGGCGATCACAGTGTAAGCCTGGCCCTGCTGGCTTTGTACCTTCTCAACGGGGAGATGATGAAAAATGAGCCTTTGGACAAAGAGCACAAACAAGATTGCTTGCAGAAGACGGTCTCGAGCTTTATCGAGGATGAATCCTTTGATGGGTTTTGTCCGCCACACTCCAAGAAGCCGCTTCTCTTCAACAAAGGATGTCGTTTCAACAACGTCGTGCTCACACCCCGAGGTATGCTAACCAAGGGTCACCTGTGGAAACTTCATCTTCGTTTCCAGGTTCCGCTTGATCAATTTCCATCCAGGAAAGATGACAGGAACCCACTGGCTAGACAAGACTATGTACTTTGGCGGCTGAGCCAGCTTCAGCATGTGCTGGAGTTACTTGGGTACACGCCAATTGCAAAAGAACTTGCAAAATTCATCGACAAGAGCCTGCATTTCGATTACAATGAGTCGTTTTCTCGATGGTACATGAGAACCATGGCCAAAATGGTGGTGGCCGCGATGGATGCTTATAAGCCGCTCTGTCTTGGGGGGATTCTGGAGGGTGACAGCGATTTTTCTTACAAGGGCATCTTCATACTTGACGATTGCGAAGAATTCCCAGCGTATAGCGAGTGGGACACTGACGAGGATTGGTCGGCAGAAGAAGAAGATGCTGTAGACCAGCTTGAATCAGAATTCGGCAGCGGCAGCAGCAGCAGCAGCGACAGCGACAGCGACAGAGAGAGTGAATCCTCGTACGGGTTCACCATCAACACACCCAAGCCTTGGACGGATGAACCAATATATGTCTTCACCTCATCCAAACCCAAAGAAGAGGCATCTCGAAATTCGTACCCCAACGATATTGACAAACATGTCTCTATTGAGATTGAATCACAGGGAGCTCCATTAGAGGATGGCTATCACCGTCCAAACTTGGTCACGAAGAGATGGATCAATGGTCTGTGTTTCTTCCGCGGTCATCCTCGACAAGAGGTTATTTTCCCCTGGCATCCCGCTTTGACAACCCATCGCGGCGTCTAGGCTTTGAGTGTTCAATAGACGTCTGCTTAATGTTAAATATGCTGTAGATAAAGTAAGATGCCGGTGGGAGACTTTCATGACATTGCACATCAGCGGTTCGGTCCTTCTACCGCAAACTTTCGTCAACCTTCTTCAGCTGGGCTTATCCCCGTAACGTCGCAGTAAAGTTTACGATCCCCACTCCTCACCAGCCATGTATGCGGTAAATGTATGGGGAAGTTGTGTATATCTGTAGAAGAGACAGCGGCGAGAACATCTCAAGCCGAGTAACTCTAGGAGAAATCAACACATTAATGGTGGTAGAGGAAGGAAGCCTGGCCATCACTTCAATTAATTAATTTTGTCTGGGAAGTTGGTGAGCGGTTTGGTCGCCAGTCGGGGTGATGCTTGGTGATCAGCATTAATCCCACAAATGTTTCTCCCAAGCGCCCCGTATGGACTGCGGCCCCTCTTGGATAGTAAGGCGGAACAAGTATGATTTTCTGAATATTTATAACTACCTTTCTCATAGCCTACTTCAGTTTGGGAACTTCTCTACATGTACTTGTAGAGCTAACTAGCAAAGAATTCCAACTGCCTACAAGTACTTCTCAACGACTTTTATGGGTTGAATTTTGTTTGAAGCGAGTCCTTACAACACTTGATTGGAAACACTGGCCTTCCATTGCTTCATCTGACAACAAGATACTTACCCTTCTCGAGGCCAGCAGGGTTTTGCGTATCTCAAGCCAATGGCGACGGTGCTAAACACCATACAAGATCCCGTAAAAACAACTACCCCTTTGTACTTGACGAGGCCGTAACTCTCCGCCGACGTGATGTGATGTAGGAGGTTTCCGCTTATTGGCCCAGCCAAAACATTGCCTACCCCTTTCCCAAAATTGAAAAGACTGAAGATCATGGGAACAGCAGTCGAGTCGGTGCTCACTGCAGTCGTCATCCTTGCCCACATGGCTGTGAAGCCAGCTGCGAAGAAGCCGTAGACCAAGGCGAAGACAATGAGAAGCGGCAAGGTGTGAGCAAGACCCCAGAGGGCGAATGCTGAGGTTGCTGAAATGACCGTGGAAACGATGGTAAGTGCCTCGAGGGGCACCTTTCTGTCAGATAACCAGCCGAAGGTGAGCTGGCCGGCAACTTGCGAGACGCTCATCAAAGCAAGCAGAAGAGCACCGTCTCTTCCGCTCAGGCCGATGGATGCGGCATATGATGGAAGCCACAGTGACGGAAAGAAGTAGCCCAGACCTTGTGCAATGTTGGAAATAGAAAAGACCCAGAAGAGGGCATCGCGAAGAAAGCTCCAGTCCATACGGGTTGAGGTGCTATGAACGGAAGTCGGCAAGCGACCTTTCAGAAATGGGATCAACGGCCCAGTCAAGACAAATAGAGCAACAGCAATAGCACGCAGCGTCGTCTGGTAGCCGTACTTGTCTAGGAGTGCCTCGATGGCGAATGGGAAGACGGCCCCAGAGACACCCGATGAGCTGCATAGCAGTCCGTAAGCCATGCCGCGGCGGGTGATCCAGTACTCGTTAACCATGGTGAGGATCGGGTAGTAGAAAATGAGGAACCCAACTCCGTAGGCGACTCCTTGAGTAAGGATGAGAGTCTCGACGGTGGTGCAGAACGAGGCGAGGACGACTCCTCCTATGCAAACGAGCCCTGGGTCCCATATCAGTGACATTCCATGAAGATTCGGCACATGTGGCTACTTGCATCCAGCCCAAATCATCTGTGTCTGAAAGCGCTGGAATCGCTTGATCAAGGGTGTAACGGCCGGTGCGCCGAGATAACTGATACCAGAAGCGACACTACCAACGACCGGGATGTAGCGGTTGCTCTCAAAGGCGGGCTGTTTGGAGTAGTAATTCTGAAAGACACCGAAAGAAAGCGGGAAGCCTGAAATGAATCAGCCATCGACGCTGCAAGACTGAGACCGGAAGGTGTCACCCCATAAGAGAGCCTCAAAAACAAACGCAGTCAAGAGGAGCTTCCACGCGGCAAAGCCTCGGTCGGTGGGCTCGAGCTGGTGGTGATGCTGCTCTCCATGGCTTTCGGTCGAGTCGTTCGGGTCGATTATTCGTTCGTCTGTGTGAAACGATGCGGCCGAAGGCGTCGCCAGTTCGATTGATTCCACGTTCGAATGAGCGGACATGTTGAACTGTCTACGCGAGAGAATAACGGCAATGAGAAGATGTCTGGTTGATAGCATTTTATGAGTGACCCTATATCACGGCTGCGGGGAATGTGAGCCGAGGCTAGCCTGGCTGCTCCGGTGATCGCTGATCTTGTATGCTTGGCGCCGAATGCTAGTCGTTCTCATGACATTCGGTAGCGTTTACCACTCTTTCATAGTAGCAATGCCATCACGCGTTTTACTTGATAGCGCATGCTAGACAGAGACATCGGATATTTTGGGACGGATTGAACCTGCTTCACTACTGCAAGTCGCAGTGATGCACTCGTTCACTGCAGTATCTCGCCTCCTGAGCCCTGGCTTCCATCCTTAGATCCCAGGTACATAATGTCGTGGAAAATCTGAAGCCACTCGTCCTCTTCTTTTCTCCACCAGTACTGCACTTTCACCATGAGTGAATCATCTATGTCAATGGCGACAACAGGTTCATCCCACAAGTCGACTCTCATCCCGACCCAGCCCTCCGACCTAGCCTTTTTCTTGACGTCCTCAGCCGAAGAAAACCCAGCCGGGATGACATGTTCATCAGTGCCGAACTCATACTCGGCGTCTGTTAATGACCGTATGGTATAGTAGCCTTTGGTCTTGAGTGTGCCTGTGTCTTCGTCTGAGAGGGAGCTTTTCTTCGGAGATGTCTCGTGAAGGTATCGCACGATGGTCTCCCTGTCGCGAGCAGCGAACGAGGGTTTAGGTCGACATATCTGGTAGCATGACGGAGAAAAGAAGGCTCCCTTGGCGTCGATATCTTTCGTATGGCGGTAGGAGGCGTAGAGGTCTTTCAGGTGATTGACAAGCGCTGGATCGATCTGAGGAGATGCCATGATCGCGGAGGATGATGTCGCAGACCCAGCCGATGTGTCCTACGGAATGTTTAGAAGCAACGGTTGTTCAGTTTTGAGCAGGGCCGTAGTTGCACGCAACCCATTGGGGATGCGACTCTCGGTAGGCCAGATTGTGTCAGCTTTTAGCGTGGTATCAGCACACCATGAGATGCATACCCGGCTGCCTGCCATAAGCCAAGGTCAATGGGTGAAGGTCCCAATTGCAGAGATGCCATCCAGAAAAGGCAATATGAGCGCTGATTACGCTCAGGATTTTCGAATATTGTGCAACTTGCCCGGACCATCTTCAGACCGGCCTCAATCCGACACCGACCCGGAGCAGCAAAGACGGCATTTTGACGTGGCGTTCCTGTCTTAGACGTGGCACTCCGGACTTGATGTGGGGGAGATCCGTCTCTCTTCCTGCCAAGAACTCATAAAATACACAGGGGACGGGAAGCCAAATCTTAATGAGTGGTGTATCATTACTATTGTTCTATGTTTTCGCCCGCGAACGCAAGTGCGTGTTTTGGTATCAAGTATCCACAGCGTCAATCCCTTCTTCGTCCCGACCGGCGTCTCTAAACGTTTTCTTACGGCCTCAGACCCGTCACCGATCATGGACCATCTTTGATATCCCTTGGCTCGATTCTTTGGATCAATGCCACAAGCCGGATGAGCGGCATAAATGGCCACCGTACGGAGCCGAAGGTCCGTGTTTGTAGGCCGAAATGTCCGTCCCCAGGACGGCTCTCCGCCCGTTAAACTTTCGCCTCCTCGATAAACCAAACTCAATTATACAACCTTCAACTTCAGTCCAACCTGTACCGTACGCGCAGCGATGAACACGCCCACAGCCGCGAGCATAGCGAACCCGCAGAACAGCTGCAGGCCGAGGAAGCTGCCACCCTGCGACGCGACAATCGCGCCAGCAATGGGGCTGCCCGTCAACGCGCCAAAGGACTGAACGGCAAACGCGGTTCCGGTCCGGATGCCAATCTGTCTAATGTCCGAGATCTGGGCAATCAGCGCCGGGGCCAGTGAGATGAAACCGCCCGACGAGAAACCGAAGATGACCAGGAAGACGATGATGGCGGCGTTGCTCTTGCCCGGGATCCAGAGCGCGAGGCAGAAGAGGGCGCTGATGAAGGTGATGAGGATCATGACGTTGAAACGGCCCATCTTGTCGGCGACGATGCCCGGGATGATGCGGCCGAGAATGCTGACGGCGTTCATGATGGGGAGCAGGTAGATCACCAGGTTCTCGTCCATGCCCTGCGCCCGCGCCTGTAGGATGACAAAGTTAAACGGCAGAAACATGCCCCAGAAGAAGAGGAACAGGCCGAAGATGGTGATGGCGAAGGCGGGCTGGCGGAAGCCGTCGAGGTACTCTTGCAGGACGAAGGGCCGCGGCCTGGGCGGCAGGCGCGACTTGACCGTCAAGCACGCGATGCTCAGCAGGAAGAGGAACAGGAAGGCGACGGTGCGGATGGCCCACGGGAAGCCGACTTGCGGGATCATCTTGGACATCATGATGGGCAGGATGACGCCGCCGAGCGAGGACCCCGAGACCATGATGCCCAAGGCGGCACCTCTGCGGCGGAAGAACCACGACGTGACGGAGGCCATGCAGGCGTTGAAGGCGGCGCTGGATCCGATGGAGGATACCAGACTTTGGGCGAGGATGAACTGGTAGTACTGCGTCGACAGCGAGGTCATCATCAGGCCAAAGACGTAAACGATGGTGCCTCCGTAGAGGAGGTATTTCGGGCCGTATGAGTCGTACAAGCGACCGAACTACGGCCAGTCAGCGACAGCACTTCGATTGGAAAATGGCAAACCTACCAAAGCGCCCATGAACGTCATCGTCCACACCTGCAAACTCGTAATCCACGACACCGTCGAAGAAGGATATCCCCTCAACGGGCCCTCCAGGTAATACGCCTGGAAGACGCCAACGCAGTTAATCAGCCCGAACGTGCAGAACAGCGCGCACCAACCGCCAAAGACGACGAGCCAGGCCTGTGTGCCGCCGTCCGGGAAGTCGGCGGGGTTGAAGCCCGGCGCGGCGGCTGCGGGTGGCGCCGCGGGTGCGTCGCCGTCTTTCTTGGCATCCTGCCTGTCGGCGGCCGGCGACGCCAAGCCGCCCTTTTCGATGTCGGCCTCGGCGACGTTGGCGGGTTCCGGGTAGATGTTTGCCTCGGTCTCGCGCTGCTGGGAGGGGATGCGCTCCATTGATGGATGGCGGGTGGATGTCCCGTAGGGCGAGCGGTCCCCCGTCTCCTTCGTCTTTTCTGGGTCCGTCCTTGCGGGGGCTTGTGGCTTCTCCATCACGGTCGAGGAGTTGGACGACGTCGAGAGGGCGTCGTTGGAGCGCATCGCTGCGATGGGAGTTGGTGTTTGGGATTGGCCTTCCTCTCAGCAATCGATGTGCTGTTCCCTTGGTTCAATATCGTTATTATTTGGGGGGGGAAGCCTCTCGAGTGGGAGATCTCAATGCACCCCTTTTGTTGATCGTCCCAGGCGAAAAATTCTCGAACACAAGAACCCTGCTGGCCGATGAGATGTGGTGGGGCCGGGTGGCTGTCTGTCGCGTTCCTCTCGTGGTGGCGAGCTTGTCTCGAGGGACGAGATCGGATGGCAGCTCGACGCACTTTGTGTCTTCTGAGGAAGCCTTCAAGCGACGGAGTCAAACAATGGCGGATACACAATGCCCGTTTGTCATGATGCGGCTCAGCTGGCAGGATGAGCAAGATTAATAATTGGAGAGCCAGGCAGATGAGGTAGAGACACGGCAAATTCGACACTCCAGGCTCGCGTTCTTCTCGCTCTTTACCATGGCATTCTTGCCAGGCTCGGAGAAAAAGCAGCACCAGTGTGTGCGGGCACGCAGTAGGCTGCCGCCAGCTTTCCTTCTGACAGCCCTCTGACAGACCCATGCTCGGGTTTAGACGCCATGCTCTTCTTGATCGACGCAATTCTGGGTCACTCCCTCTGAGATTCTGGGGACTCGGGGAAGAGGGGGTTGGGCTGGGCTCCACGCCGCCCGGGGTTAAACAGCTTCGGCCGTTTGATAGCTCTTTACCGCGTTGGGTATCTGTAGTTCGTTCAAGAACCGTTCGTTTTGCCCGGCCGAAGTACGTAAATTGCCGGGAAGGAGATCAATAATTGCGTTGCTAACAGTGTCAGTTATTTTGATACATCTCGGGGTGATGTCCGCGTCTTCTGTGGCTCCCTGGCCTGCAGAGAGCGACCGTGGAAGAAACAGTCTGGTTTTCCACACCGTAGTGGACGTCGGAGATCGTGTCACTCTTTTCTTCTTCTTTTCCCGAAGAGACTAATGCGAAAAAGCTACTTGCAAAAGGAATCAGCCAGTGCAGCTTAGCGCTTAAAAAGTCGGTCAGCGGTCCTCAATGGCCACGAGAACTATTGCGTTTTCATTTTTTTTTTTTTCTTCAGACGGCATTTTGTTGCCGGTAAGATGCGTAAGTTGGCTGCACAGTTGGTAAGCAAGTTAATTCGCGGCGCTCCCAGATTGAGATTCCAGAGAGTCGCCATGCATCAGGTTGCGAATCCCATAATCTGGTTCTTCAGCGCCTGACAAGACCGAAATGGCTGCGAGATGATGAGATCTGACTCCGGGGGAAATATCCTGGCCCGGAGCTGGCTTCCGATGTGGGGGGCGCGCATGGTCCCTTTGGCTCGGCGTTGAGACGAAAACGCCAGGCCCGAACATCTGGAATTGCAATGGCACGTTGAACCTCTTCCAATCACTGGGCGCAAACGGTTGCAAAGGGTGTGCTCGGCTTTCGCCTCGGAAATCGAGCCAGTGTTTTCAGGTACGCTAAATAGCTAGAATGTACGTAGATATTGACACCAGTCCCAGCGACTTTGGCCTCTGTGCATAGTGAAGCCACCACGTGGAATAGACGTGCGCGCCGTCAACCAAGCTTCTTTTGATGGAACACCAATGCGTCGGGGCTTGTTTGCTGGAGATTGGGCCGTTATCAGTCGGAGAACGAGACACATCAGATCTCCGAGATCCAATCTCACGTCGAAATGCATTCGTATCTGAGTCCGCACACCCGCGGCTGACATATCTGGTCCGGACAGAGGCCCGTCTCACGCGCCCGCAACCGAGCCGCGTCTCTCCTGGTGCTCAAGTTTGATCTGTTGTATTACACAGTAGATGTACATTTGTCAGCCTTGTGGCTGCGTGGTGTGATTGTGAACAATCCTTTGCGGCGTAGCAACGCCTTGTTCTTAACTCCGGCTTCATGGTGATTCTACCTCACAAACTCCTTCAGATCCTTGGCGTCCTCAAAGTTGACCTTGCCGTCGCGGCTGATGTTGGCGACATGAATGGCAGAGGGGCCCTGCTCGACTGAGGCGGGCGGCTTGGCCTCGGCTTTGGGCTTTGTGGTGAGCTCAACTGCCTCGGCAGCAACGCCAGCAGGCGCGTCCGCGATCTCGTTGACTTCCTTGTTGGTGAGAGAGTCAGCGACTCTGACGCCCCTGCTGGACATCAGGATGGTAGTAGGTCCGCGGAATTGGAGGAACAGGCGGTCGCCCCAGATGGTGCGACGCAGCGTTGTTCGCAAAGAGAAGAGCCAGCGCGCGAGCGTCTTGTAGGTGCTGGTGTCTCGCATGTTCTTGACGAACTCGGTCTCGGGAAGGAGGCCAGTGATGCTTGGGACCTGGAAGCGCAGGATATTGGACTTGAGGCGGAAGGGGAGAGGGGGATTCCGGGAAACTGAGTATGCGACCACGTGGGACGGATGGGCAACGAACTCTTCGCCCTCGGAAAGGTTGAGCTCGTAGATCTGGCCCGGAGATGACAGCGCTGCCAGGCCACGGCCGGTAAGGTGGGTGTTTCCCCAGTGGGCGACGGAGAGACCACGAGCGATGCGGGGAGATACGGAAAGAGTGTGTCCCGTCCATGCGAGGAGCGCATTGCGCTGGGTGATCATGTAGTCGGTCGTGCCATCGAGGTGGAGGACAGAAAACGTCGTGGTTGGCGACTTTGTGGAAATGAGAGCCGTCAGAGGCGTCGAGGAGGAAATGCGCTGATAGAGGAAAGGAACGCCGAGGAAGGCTCGTGTCAAGGGGGAAAGAATCGAGAGTGTGGATTGGGCCTATATGGAAGGTCAGCACTATCGATGGTGTTCGTCGTAGTATGTTCCCTCACATTCTCAGCCTTGCCCGCGACGGCAACGAGAGTGCCTCTCCTCGTGTAGAGCTGTTGCGAGGCAGACAGGGTGACGGAGAGGAGGGAATAGGGCGAGCCGAGGACCTCAAAGCGGGCATCTGCATATCAACACATTAGCATGCAGCCCCGTCATAGTCCCTCAAAGGTAATCGCATACCGGCCGAGTCCCTCAGGGCGGTGCCTCGAGCTCTGAAAACATCCCCGCCAACCTTTGGAGCTTCAGTCGTCGGCGCCGCACTGATTTGGATGCTCCTGCACTGCCGGCAGACGTAGGAGGGCGTCTGCCCCGGTCGCGCACCGCGAGCTGTCCTCAGCAGGGACAATTGGGCACGCATGGCGGACATTTGGGGGGGTGATGACGTCGGTCGTTGGATCGTGACCTCGAAGCTCCAGACCAGCAGCTCCCGGCGGCTCGATCACGAATTGAAGATGCAACGGCAAAAAATCGGAGCGGAGCTGGCGGGGGCCGGGAGAACCTGGCTTCCGGCCCGAGACTCTTGGGTTGAGGAAGGTGGGAAGGTCCAGGACCTGACCCGTGCCTGCCCACCTTCCCAGTGCTTAGGTAAGACCGCATCAGGTACGTCTCCTTTCACCGCTCACCTTCGCGAACGGCTTAGCGCCATCACCCCGGCGACGACTTATGACGCGGGCCTGTTGACAAGGGTCTCGGACCCTCACTTTTGCATATTCCTTGCACAACACTGAATCCGTCGAATCCACGCCTGAACCCTTCCAACTTGGAAACCTTAGGCAACCTCGAAATCGTCAAATCTCTTTCTCATCAAACCAATTTCCCGCCTTCGCGTCCCCTCGAAACCGACACGACGGCGACGACGACACGCTTCGCTCTGCGTCTCTGTCTCCAATCTGTTCCTCACCAGCGTGTCCAGGCAGCTTGCTACCTCCTCCCAAGTAATCCTGGACTGACTGTGGCCCACGATGTCGGTTCGTGTGGTCGCCCGCATTCGCCCTCTCCTCGAGAAGGAGCTGGACAAGGACACCATCGTCCGGGCTGACAGCTCCGAGGAGGGCAAGCACGCCACGCTCGTCAAGATCCCGAACCCCAAGAACGAGACCGAAGAGTTCTCCTTCGCGTTCCAAAGTGTTTACGACCAGGTTACGACGCAGGAGGAGCTCTTCACCGCCGAGGGTACGCGATACACGCCAATTTCGAGATAACGCGTTCCATCTTGTACTAACTTCACCAGTCGCGCCCCACCTCAAGGCGCTCTTCCAAGGCCTCGATGTCACCATTTTCGCATACGGAGTCACGGGAACCGGAAAGACGCACACCATGCGCGGCGGCTTGAAGCTGGCCGACCGAGGCGTCATCCCCAGATTGCTGAGCGGAGTCTACCGACGCGGCAAGAAGATCGCCAAGGACTCGGGAGGCAACACGACGGTCGATGTTGCCCTGTCCTACTACGAAATCTACAATGACAAGGTCTTTGACCTGTTCGAACCCCCAGAGAAGCGCAGCGCTTCAGGTCTCCCTCTCCGCGAGAAGGATGGAAAGACCCAGGTCGTGGGTCTTTCAGAACGGGCATGCGAGGACCTCCAAGACTTCTCGAAGCTCTACATCGAAGCGAACAACAACCGCGTCACCGCCGCCACGAAGCTTAATGCTCACAGCAGTCGAAGTCACGCTATTTTGAGAGTGAAGGTCACGCAGACGACGGGAGACACCATCCGCGAGAGCACCGCATCGGCCATTGATTTGGCAGGCTCGGAGGATAACCGCCGGACGGACAACGGCAAGGAGAGACTTGTCGAGTCTGCCGCCATCAACAAGAGTCTGTTCGTTCTGTCTCAGTGTATCGATGCCATTGGTCGTGGGGATAAGCGAATTCCATACCGCGAGTCCAAGATGACTCGTATTCTCAGCCTCGGCCAGAACAACGGCATCACCATCATGATTCTCAACCTCGCACCCATCCGCAGCTACCACCTCGATACCCTGAGCAGTTTGAACGTCAGCTCCAGAGCCAAGCGAATCGAGGTCCGCGAGATCGAGAACGAAGTCGTCTTCAAGCAGGTGCCCCGCACGAACTCCGCCAACTCCACACTTGCACACCGCCAACCTCTCCGCCCGCTGGCGAACGTTCACAATATCCACAGTGGTACGATCGCTGCCAAGGAGAAGGAAAAGAAGGAGGACGTTACCCGCCCAGTAAAGGCCTTCAACGTGTTCGCTGATCGTAACAAGCCGGCTGCCCCCACCCGCCCTACTGCAAACACTACCCAAATCCGCAAGCCGGCCATCGTTGTGGAGAAGGAGGCAGCGCCCAAGGTCTCGAAGCTGGCTCGTCCTGCCTCCTCGGCCCAGCCAGCTCAGCAGAAGCTGTCAATCTCTGCAGAGCAGTTAGAGGCCCTTGTGGAGAAGAAGGTCAGCGAGATCCTCAAGTCTAGGGAAAACAAGGAGATCGAGCCTGCGCCGGCAGCTGCCCACCCCGATATCAACGAAGCGGTGCAGCGTCGCCTGGAGGCATTGGAGCGCCGGATTGAGAACGAGGAGCGTGACCGAGATGACAGCCGCTCTGAAGGACTCCGCTATCTGCTGGCTGCCAGACAAGCAAAGGAGCATGGTGACGATGTTGGGGCGCTCAAGATGTACGAGCTTGCCCTCCCGTTTTTCCCGGGACAGGCGAAGCTGCTAGGCAAGATTGAAAAGTTGAGGTCAAAGATTGGTAACAGCCTCGCAATCGAGGTGGGCATGCCCTCTCCTAGCAAGCGTGATAGACACGAGAAGAAGCGCAGACGGGTCGCGTACGACAGTGACGACGAGTTCCAGCACGCCGAGGCAGACGAAGATATGAGCTTCGTCGATGTCGCCGCCAAGTCGAAGAGCCGAAAGGCCAAGTCGACAAAGCCTGCCACCAGGCTGCCTCTCCCCGAACCCAGCGGACCCGCGTCCCCACAGACGCAGTCTTTGTTGAACATTGTCAATTCCCGCGACCTCGCACAGATCAAGAGCCTCCACGGCTTCGGATCCAAGAAGGCACAGGACCTGGTTGACTACCTCGAGGAGATGCCGGAAGAGCAGGGCGGGAACATTGAGTCCCTGGCACAGCTGAGAACCATCCCTGGAATGGGTGGTCGCACCGTTGATCGCGCGTATGATGGTATGGTCGGCGTCGCTGTTTAGAGCGAGTTATATCCCATCCTTGCATTGAAACGCCGGTGGCTTTCACAGGGGCATTGGCATTGGCACGGTGTTTTTGGAGTTTTCAGCATGCAGGCCGCGGTGGCCTTGAAAGATAGGTTGCTTTTAGACTGTTGCATATTTGTGCGAGCACTGCTTCGAATCACAGCTTCAGGATGGTCTGGTTTGACCATAACAAAATTACTCCGTTTTGCTGTATCCCGTCATCAATGAATTTGATTTTTCCCGAAGCCACACTCATTGTATCCCGGATGTTACCCTTTGTCGCATTCTTTCAAGTCCATCTATCCTGGAATCTTCGCTTGTCGGGTCTAATATGATTCCCATATTTATTGGAGCAGTATACTTCTCTAAGCACGACGAGGGAAAGATAAAAGTTGAATTACTATGAGGTCTGTCATAAACTGCACGGGGAAAATGAGACCAGACTTACCTGAGGCACGCCGCCACCAAATGATACAACCACCTTGGAGCTCGACAACGGAAGTTCGGAAGAAAATCAGCACATTGCAGAAAAGAGTCCAGCATGCCAACACATGCGCCATGCTCTCATCCATCCTACACAGCAAACTCCATCGGTCTGGGCCCGGTGTGGCCCCCAAACAAATGCATGACCCAATCTTTAAATCGCTCCCAGACAGCACAAACCTTGTCCCAAAGAAAGGACAGTGCTCCTTTCAGCCAGTCCATAAGACTCTCCCATGGTATGAAATAGACAGCTGCCGCGGCAGTTACTCCCATTACAACGCCCGGCCCTGCTGCGGTGAAGACAGTGGCAGCTTTGGCACCAGCCGCACCGAGCTCCAGAGCATGGAAACCAAAGGCGTACTTGACATAGACACCGCCCACTGCTGCATTCGCAGCGATCTTGAGTATCACAGTCCCGACGGCGAGACCTACGATCGCTGAGACCACTCCCCTTACATCATTCCAGCGAGTTTTACCGGACAGCGTGTCGAAGTGCTGACGTAGCTCGGCCTGTTCCGACTGGGTGAACTGGTTTCGACATCGTGCCCAGTTTGGAATGTTGGCAATGTCGGCGAGCCTAATCCGGACCCCTCGTTTGTGACCTAGGAGTAGAGTGTGATGTTTATGTCGGTGTGCTTGCCACTTATCCAAACGGACGTTGTTATAAGTGGACGATCCATCGACATAGAGCTTCCCCTTAGTACCTTCTGCCGCGCATCGGAGGACTTTCAGCTGGTCGAAGTGCGATGGGACATGGAACCAGATCTCATCCACGTCAGGGCTGACTAGCAGATTGAGAATGTGGTGCTTGGATCTGGTCTTGATCGCTGCGATGGTGTCTTGAAGCCCTTGGGCAGTGGTGAAGAGCATTGGAGGGGCTTGAGTGACTGGTCAGCAGGACCGTCGGCGGGGTAGCATGATGCCAAGATACTCACGTTTTCGTCGGATGAGTCCAAGTAGCTTCGGACCTTCTGCGCATACCTTCTCCAGCTCATCCAAGCTCTGCTTCCGTACGACACCGATCGTTAGGCTCTCATCGTTCCTCTCCTTCACCACAACACCAGCGACGGCGCTGACCTCTGTCTTGATAGACTTATGGGACAGGGTACTAGACGATGTGATATCGGACCATCTGCTCGACACCATTTTGGCAAGTATGGAACGATGGTAGTAACGGAGTATCGATGGCAGTGCTTATAGACGAGGTCTTCAGAGGGAGGCAGGTCGGTAGAGGTGTTGTGGCAGGTAGCCTTTCAGCTATCAAGATTCCGAGAAGATCGATTGGGCAATCAAAAAAACACGCAAGAGCCAGAGGATTACAAGCTCTTTCAAAGATAGAAAGTAAGAGTAAAAGCGACCTGAAGAAGGAAGAGTCTTGACAGCTTTTGGGGGATTCGGGCAGTGTTTTATGAGTCTGAGAGCACTCCATCTACAAGCTCGTGCAAAGCGTAGCTTGCAGATGACAGAGCACAAGGTCTCGATGATTCTCTCGAGATATCTGTGGTACTATGTCGTCAGTACATGACAATATGCAAGGACATTTCAACAGCCAATAGATGATCAGCCTGGCTGGACCATCGTGTGTGATTTTGGGGATCAGCCATGCAGCTCATGCACCGCACATGCATACGCCAACAAACATCCGGTAGCTCGAGTCGCACTACTGCGCGAACATTAGCCAAACAAAATAGAGGCTCTCAATCATGAGTGTCATCTGGTTTTCTCCTCTTCCAAATGGTTGTTGGTCTCACAAGGACGTGGAGGCGGGCGGGGTAATCCGTTCATGTGCGACCAAGCCCTGGCGCAGGACATGAGGTGTTCGCTGACAATGCAAAACAGTCTTCTGCGGCTTAAGCTTACTCAAACCTGTTATGTCCAATCTCAGAACCGATCACGCTTCATATTTGTCTCGAAAGATACGAGCAAACGTCTTGTCCCACCCGCCCTTCATAATTCACCTACAATCGACCTTATGTCGTTCGTTCGGGGCTCTATCACGCACAGCGAGTCACCTTCCCGTGTGCAGTGGGAGGAGATGAAATCAAAGATCACCGAAATATGGCTGCATAGAGCGTGCACTAGCCAGAACCTTGTTGAGATACTACGTCGTGAGTATGGATTCATGGCCACGTATGTGACGAGATCTTGGTTTCATGGCGAAGTAGACCGATCTAACTATACCACGCAGGCCCAAAACGTGCGCGACTCATCTTCAACGATGGGGCCTGACTACTTACAGGAGACGAGCAGCTTCTCCAGGATCAGAGCAGCCATCACAGCCTACGAGGAAGCGAAAAGGCCAGCCATTGATACGAGAGGATGAGACGCGGCTACGAAGAACCGTTCTTCCCAATCCGTCCACAAACAAAATGCTTAGGCCTGCATCCTACCGATCACTGGAACTGATGCAATACTGTATTGACCGCTTCATCGAAGCAGCCTTCGGGAAAGCAGCTCAGAACCTCTCCTTTCTCGACTTGATGCGGTCAAAAGGAGATGGTGGCCTCAACTGGGAACGCATAGGTGATTTGTACTGCATGGCCGAGAGAAACTTTCGTGATCAACGGTTCAGATTTCGTGCCGGGCGTAAGAAACACTCCCAGAGCAGCCTGAAGGTATTGAGGAACTCGAGGGGCCTTGATCAGGCTCGTTGTCAGGTGCGGCTTTTGTTTCAGGCAGAGCATCATGGGTATTCAAGAGCCCTGGCAAAAGTAACGAACCCATCAGCATTGCAACGACTCAAACAAGCCATGGCCCCTCCATCGATAGACGCTCAGCGTACCAGACATCGCATTTTCATTGTCAATTTCTGGCGCCTGTGTCATCGGCTTCTCAGGAACGATCTGGCATGGCCACAGTACGACTACTCTTATGTTGAAGACTTCCTCTTGGAGTTGGAAATCGTCATTGTTAAGGAATATGGTCCATACCACCCGCTATGTAAGCTGTTGGTGGCGCTTGTAAAGCTGTTGGGAGAGGTGTCAAAAGCGGATATGCTGGAGGTTCTGAGCCTTGGTGTTTCTCGAACTATTCAGTCCATGGCGCCAGGTATCACTTCGGTGCAGAAGCGAACTCTTGTCTTCCGCCGGTGGACAGCCAATATGACACATACCTGATGAAAGATTAAGATGTAGCATATTTTACAACATTATCTTCTGAATTATTTACGTTAGTCATGGTCACCTGGAGATCTCTTGAATTTGCTCAAGCGAGAAAGGATGACTACCACCAAGCGTGGCTAGAACGAGCCTTTGCCACGCTCTTATGCTGTGTTCATCCTCTTTCGGTGGAAATACCCAGCAAACATGAGCCGTAGTCATTTTCGAAGAAGACCAGGGGCACATTACCTATTGACGTACCTTAGAAAGTATTGTTCGACAGTGACGTGAGATAATCATTCATCCCACCGGGTTCCCGCCAGCTTTTGCAGGGGAAACTTGGGAACACCCACAAGATGAGCAATTTTTTATATGTTTATCGTCAAGAGCAAGCTCATTCGGGCCGATCCCCGCCTGTTGAAAGTCTTGGGGTTCGTCTTTTCAATCACCGACTACACTGACTGTGGGGCCGATACGATGTCGGCCACCGGCCCTCCCCCCGGTCAAACGCCGAGACCCATATCACAGCGTGGCGGTGGCTTGATCGGTGCGGGAGTTCAGCTTCCGCATTATCAAGATAGCACAATCCAAATCTGCCCCAACTTCAACATCGCGAGATTATTGCATAGCACAACTACGATCGTAGAAAAAAAAAAAAGGCTCAGTTGTAAGATGAACCCACTCGCCATACACCGAGATGCATGCACTTACGTATTGTGATCACATTCGTCATGATTCAAGTCCCTTGCTCTCGATTCTGGGAGATCATGTTCGGCATCGACATGCGGCTAGAGAAAACTACCTAGCTTAGAAGAGACCGACTCTGTGTGAACAAACGTGAGATATTTAAGTCTTGCATGGCCATACTACACAGAATTTTCTGAAGATAAACCCAAGCCAGAAGGTCCCTCATCAATCACAAGTTTAGCTGCCCGGACCACTGCAATCGCAATGTTTTCGAAGCGCCTTCTCGTGGCTCTTGCAGCCTTTCATGGTATCTTTGCCGCTCCCACATTCAGCAACAGCACGGTCGACCGGGCAAACCTCACGGTTGCTCTCGTTCGCACTCCTCCGCCCAATTGGCCGTTGCCACTCACGAATTACGACTTTACTGGCGTGACGTTCAACATCAGCGAGGTTGTCGACGCAGGTATCAAGTTGATTAACGACGCTAAGAGCGCCGGCTCAGACCTCATTGTCTTCCCCGAACTATGGTTCCCTGGGTAAAATTCCCTCGAAATGCAGTCGCTTCTTCCGCATGTCTGACAGGTGCAATAATCAGATTCCCCAAGGGTTCCTCAAGCAGTCACTACAACTTCACCCGAGATCACCTGCCTTCGTATATCGATAACGCCATCGTCGTCGGCGATGCTCAGTGGAGCCGCCTCATAGCTGCAGTCCAAGAGGCCGGCATCTTCGCCAACATCAATTTTGCCGAGAGAGATGGCGACTTCATGTACATGTCTCAATCCCTGCTTGGCCCTGAAGGCGACGTCTTGCACCACCGTCGCAAGCTTCGTCCGTCTGGAGCCGAGCGCTACATGTTCAGTGATGGTACTACCGACGGTCTTAAGGTCGTGCAGACCGACTACGGTCGCTGGGGAATGTTGGAATGCGGAGAGTAAGTCTCGTCAACTGAAAACGCACGCACCGGAGACGAGTGATTAGCTGACGTTCGCTCGCAGACACCTGTACCCTAGCATGACCTTCAACATGTATGTCCAACGCGAGCACGTCCACCTGGCGCCGTTCCCATACCTCGCCGGCGTCGACGACGACACTTCTCTCTGGTGGGAGAACGAGTGGATCAACACCGGAACTGTGGCAGTTTACTCCGTGCTGAGCGGCGCATACTCCCTCACGCCCTCCGTGGGCGCTTCGTTTGTCACCGATCCCCTCGGGAACCGAGTGGCGTATGTTGCTGCAAATGTGAGCTTCGAGGAGGTTCCCATTCTCTACTACAGCTTCAACACGACTAGCTTCAACAACTCGGTCACGTACGATATTAATGGCCAGGCTTCGTGGGGAACGCTGAGCCAGATGGTTGACAGCTTCCCGGAGTATGTGCCTAAAGTGGAGGGAGAATTTGTGAAGCATAAGACGAACTCGATTGCTTGGCTCAAGACTGGAGAGTTGGTTATCCCCGAAGGCGCATAAGTCATGTGAAAGGCACATCAGTCTAGAGGGCAACTCAAGAGAATCTGGGAAATATTCGAGGGATGCCTCACAGGCTGGAGTAGTAGAAAGATCTCTAGACTAACTTCCGCTTGTATCAAAATCTTGACCCTCGTACAACCATCCCAGATCTGGCAAACTGGATAAACTTCCAAAAGCCCCTAATAGCTCTGATACAGATGACATCTCGCCGGTTTGCCATGCATGCCCATTGAAGGGAGTGGCATCGTGGCCATCATAGACCCCAACACTCGTCTGTGCTGGGTCATTGAGTCGACTGAAATAGCTCGCATCTTGTCGTGGGGACTCCCTTTCCTGTGCGGATGGCTCAACAGGAGCTGCGAATGCCATTGGAAGAGCACCTACTGCTCCCCATTTTTGAGCCAACACGCGGACCACACGAATGCACTTATTAACGCGCGTGGGCCATGTCTCTCGCAGTTCATCCATAAGCCCCATCCCTGTCCGTAACCAACGCGAGCTCTGTCTCCTCAAAGTGATGTCACTGCTGGTGGCGTTCATCAGATGCACAAGAATCGCGCTTAAAAGATGATGTACTATGATCGGATGTGCCATCGTGAAGGTGTATCTGTCTCGATACAGCCGACATAGGCGTATTGTCTCTGATGCAGCGCTAGTGATAGATCGTAGTACTAGTAGTGAACTATTTGATTCGGCTTCGTTGATACCAGGGGTGTTCGAGGAGGTGAAAGATCGCAGAAAAGACGATATGATGATCATTATTGCCATATGATACTGCAAGTGAAAGAAAACGATTGGTTTTGGGGCGTCATTGTTCATGTGTAGTTGGTGTGGTTTGGAGCGGAAGAAGGTATTGAGCTGCTCAAGCGTCGATACGAGAAGCCTGATTTGCTGTGCCATAGCAAGCTTCTCAAAGGATGGGGCGAATCTCAAGTTGAACTCGTTAGAATAAGTTCCAAGGAAAGTGGCTAGCGGTGATTATGTCACTTACATCTGGTCCATGGCTTCAGCGTGGGTGTACCATAGCTGACTCTGCCATGCGAATGAGAGCTCTGCCAAGTCTGCGGTTTCGGCGTTCAACGTTGTATGAAATTCGGGCACGTTGACGCGCCGCCACGGAAGTGCACAATTCCTCCCCAAGATAGTGATTGCAGATACGTCGACGAAGTAGAACATCCAGAACGTCCTGATCTCTGGCGACGTAGGCTTCAAGGCTCTCCCAGCACATTCATCCAACGCAAGAACATGTAGTCGTAAGTGAACGCACAAACCCCCGGCCATAGAGATGAACATCCAGCCCAAGTGATCTTTTCCAATCGACAAGGATCTGAACGATAGGATACACATTCCCTGAATTACTGATAGGGTGGGCCGATAGCGACAACAGTCAAAGACGAGCTTTTCTGCGTACTTCGCAAAGTCCTCGCCCACCTTGGCCATATTCGGGTCTCGGCTTGCTAGAAAGGCGGCTCCTGTTGCAAGAATGGCAGTATGGAGGAAGGTTTCATCGATACTTTGGTACGGGTATTGATCCAGAAATGAAGGTGATGTGTATGGTGTAAATTGATGCTCTTGGTTGATGTTGTCGAGGAAGACTGATGCGAGTTCCGATAATAAGTTCGAGTCTCGACTGTAGCGAAGGATTTCATCAGGGGGTGAAATATGGGAAGATTCCACAGCGCACTCTGCTGCAATCTCATAAGAAAGAGCCGAGTCGCCGTCCTGGGTGATGACTGCGCCGTCGCCCAGGTTCATCCTCCACATCATGACACTCAGCTCTTCCAAGGCCACTGGAGATCTCTCATGGGTAGAAAATGGAGGCAGATCTTCATGATTCCGCAATGTTTCTGCGAGAAATATTGGCTCTTCGATGCCATCGCTGTGCTCCTGCTGCCGATGATTGACAAGGTTCGATTCGAAATTCTGGTGTTCATCCGGTATGAGGCCTTTGATGAGTGGCAACGGAGCCGTTTCTGTAGATGGCAAGATACCAAACTGTCGTTCATACTGTCTCACGACAGCGAGGAGAGCTTGCACCTGCTGCTCGAGACCTTTCACATAGTCTTCGTCCCAGTACTTCCTCCTAGATAGGTCCGGTTTAACTCCGCCCGAGACCACCCGGGGTTTGTCTGGCTGCAGGCAACTTACTTCTTTGGACGCTGCTCAACATACGTACAAGGTTTGCCTAGCCTAGAACATAGCGAGCACTTCGGTTTGACCCCATCGCACTCCAATATCCAATATGTCAACCAACATGATCTCCACTGCTGCATGCTCCCATGCACCCTTCGAGGTGGGGTACTAACCTTGCGTTTGCCTGACTTGCACTGCTCACATGCAAATGCCAACGTCTTATTCTTGGTTCCGGCCATCGTTGCCTAAGTTTGTACGTGTTGAAGTAAATCAGATGATCAAGACGTCAAAATCATGTCTGGTATTCTGGATTCCGAAGATGATTAGGCGTGGAATTGAGTTCCGATGACTACCGACGCTGCGGAATAGATAAGATAAGGGAGGCGGAGATTGTCCCGCTCAAAGTTCAAACACCGGAACCCCACGCACTAGCACCGGAATGTACACGTGAATCTAAGAGGTCCTGGTCAGATCTTATTAGCCGCTACCATTTAATTCATCCAGACTCTTGAATCCCAGTTCAGCTCATAACTTGGCCTGGGAGATCTTGTTCTGACTCTCGGCGCACTACTTCCAACTAGCTAGTGCCAAGCCGTCGCGACTGGTCTGTGACGCACGAATGCTGTGACGCCGACGAGCTGCGCCCGCCAAGAACGAGTCGGACACCGAGCAGGTTTGCTTCGCCGTTGACTCAATCCGCAAAACACATCAGATACTGCCAGATTTGACAGGACCCGAGATTATCTCCGAGCAGTGTTTAAAGGGTATAATTAGGCTTGATTTGAGACCTTTACAGCCTGTGTTCTTGTTGGGCATGACCATACCAACCGTTACGGAGCCATCCGGTAAGATGGGATGAAGTTCCAAATGTTTGGATTCGTCCTCATGTGGGTGCTATTAATAGATTCACTCAAGGCTGTTGTGACCAGTGGAAATAATCTCTCATCTCATCATGGGATGATTTGCGGCAGGGTATTACGACGACTGGCCTTTTCCCCTGTCAATGGCAATCCAGTCGCAATACCGAGTACATGTGGTGAGTCGGTTTCGATCCTTGGCCGAGTCACGGAAGCTTGGACACACCTATCGAGACGACTCGCGGAGAACTCACGATGTGTCAAATGAGATTCGCATCTTTATTCGTGCAAAAGCAATTCTGTTTTTATTGGTGCACGCTATGTCATAATTCATCAGCCAGCCATCTAATGACGCGCAGTGACTCCATCACGCTTTGATGTCTCTGGCTCACTTCCCTCAGAGCGTAATTCCCCATCATCATCATCGGAGAGAATGAACCTCCCGGAGACGGCTCCGAAAATGCATCTGTATCCTGGCTGGCCCCATCCTGGAAATCATAGCTAATTGATCCATGCCTAACCGGGTATCCACCTTGATTCTGTCCCTTCATGTGGTTGATCGCAGGGTTCTCCATCGAAACGGCCACGAAGCGGCTCTCCGTGGACTTGTGCAACCGCTTCATCATTCGTGACAAGAGGAAAACAACAGAGTTGACATCCAAGTCGAAAGAGCTGACAAGGTTGAACTTGTTGAGGTTTCCCCCTGGTGTGCTGTTGAAGAATGGCTGTGCCAGGCCCATGTCGCTGGCTGGACTCGGGCCCTGGCTTTGCCGGGAGCACTGCAGACGTGCTCGCAGAGCTGAGAGCAGCTCATCGTAAGAGTCCAAAAGAACAAGATAGCATGTAATGAAAAGAGAAATTGTGATTGCGTGGCTCGGATTCTGCTGGAGCTGAGGGTCCGGCGCCGCGTACGTGGCAGCGGGCGCGTTGAAGCCGGCAGGGTCAGATCCGGCACCCCAAGACGAGAGTGGCGAAGCGGAGCGCCGGCCCTCCACACTGGGTCGGAGCTGCGGCAGGCCCTCCACGATGTCGATGAGGGTCTCAGTCGAGTGGACTGTGGTGTTGATGAGAGCAGGTAAGCTGTCCATATTTTGCGCCTTTGCTATGTGGCGGGCGAACAAGTGAGACTGAAGCTCCAGCAGGCGCTGAGTCGCGGGCTCCGTGGATTTCGGCTCATGTTCCGGTGATGACGGGAGGGTGTCGCATGCGAACGATTCCGGATGTCCAAAATCGCTTGGTTGCTCACAACTGGGCATCCATGCGTCGTCCGAGCCATTCGGGAGAGATCCGATGGTGGTTGGGGGAGTTAGTGGAAGCCCGTGGTCGGAAATCATGGTGCTGTCCTGATGATCCAAGAACCCCAGTGAATCGTGATCCATCCACTCCGTTGGCACCATCTTCGGGTCGTTATTGTGCAAAAGCCCAAGTAACGGGTCTTCGAAAGTCTCTGCCCAAGGTGCATCCTCTGCAGGATGACTTTGAATGATGCCCAACCCATATTGAAACTCGTTCGTATCGTTGTTTGGTGTTTGAACCAGTTCGGATTGGCTCGACTGAATAGTTGCGCTGGACATTGTTGAAGAGCGCCGGTAACTGGATGAAGGTTGCGGTTGTGGTGGTGGTACCGCTGCACTGGTGTTCTCCTGTCCCAATCTCTTCTTCGCTGGTCTGCCCATCCTTCTCGGCGGGCTGTAGAAGCAGTCAATCTGAAGGCGTTGACATCTCTCGCACTTGGCAGCTCCAGACTCTCTGGAGCAACGGCTCTTAAGAGCTCGGCAACGATCGCAGGCGCTTCTTTGTGAGAACAGCATGTTGGCGGCAAAGGTTCATGTACCTGCACGACAAATGAGAAGAGACGAATGATGTCAAAAGGATACCAAGTGACAACCAACGAAGCTTATATCTACTTCCTGCTTAGCCGCGAAGACCAGAGGCTTCAAAAATAGTCAACCTTGCCAAGATGCGCCCTAGCCACGCCAAGGACATCCGCGCGTTCGACTCATGTCGGGGTTCTTGCGCGGGGGCGGGGGGCCTTGTCAGATCTAGATGAGATGTCTCGGTAGAACCTGCTCTTCCCTTTTCGGTCAAGCAATCATGCGCATTGTCGATTTCTTATTTTAAGGTTTCCAGGAAACCACTCACGTATGATATGTCGACTCAGCGCCCATTTGCATGTCAAGATGCCGATCCGACTTGGCACACATTGCCTTTACCACTGCTCTGGAAATAAGGCAACCATTGGGCTGGTGACGGGGTTTTCCTGTAGGGCGGAACCGCTCCGTTTAGCCGCTGTACACTTTTCTCGATAGCTCCTAGGCTATGCAACATCATTATGTCCCCCCAAACCTTCTTTCAATTAGGGTCCACTGCAACAATCGTGAGGAAGCCATCCATGGCTTCCGTGATGGGGCTGACGAATTATCTCGTTTTGCGACAAAGGCAATTCCAACGTTCCGTGAAGAGCGGCGTACACGGACCTCGGACAAGTACTCAAGACCGTGGTTCGTCAGTTCTGTTCCCAAGACATTTTCAGTCAGTCAGACGTGCATCGTGACAGCTTTGTGAATCTTCTAAAAACAACTACTATGCCAAGACAACGACTGCCAAGACCAAAGCCTCAGGTGGGGGGATCTATTGACGACGAAGGCCAAGACATTTGATAGTGTCTAGTTTAGAAACAATAAGAGGGCTCAATGGCTGCCCAACGATGCGGTCATACAGAGGGTGTCCAAAAAGGTAAACTGGAAAGAGTCGTAGAGTCTTGGCAGGTTTGAGCTCCACGACTCGACATAGTGGTCCTGCCACACAGTCTTTTGAATCAATTTGCGCGAATAAATTTAGAGTTTCTATTCGGCCAACTGTGACATATATGTCAACTCTTCAAGGATGGCACTGACTGCTGGAGCCATCCGGCGTGCCGCCGAACGTGCTCGACGGGCACTAGCACCCGCCGCCGCGGGTTTCCCCCGCCGCCGCCGTCTCGATCGGCGGCAACGGCACGTGAATCCTCTTTTCTTGGGGGCTGTGTCTGAGCCTCTCGCGCTAGAACAATTGTCTGGAGCAAGGCTGGAGCTCTTGGCGAAGTGAGTAAATAGATTGAATCAAGAAACACCAAGGCCGCGCCGCTTGGCAAAAACGAGGGGGAACCAGCGGAAAATGAAAACCTTGATAGTAACTTGCTCACGGCGCGGGCTAACATCACCCAGACGGAAAAGTGCCCATCCATCCATCCTTCGTCGGCTCTGTGTTGCCTCTCACTATTCGTACACTAGGCGCCAGGCTTTGCCGAACTGGGGGGTAACAAGCCAGTGGGAGGCCCAAACAATCTTCGGCGAATTCCATCTCTGGACAAAAGACAACTCCGAAGCTGCGGGACGACAAGATGAACTCGTAGATCGCGCGAACTCTATCCCACAATACTCGTTTTCGCCTCTTGGGACGCACGTTCCAACGCTTTCCATTTATTTTGCGGGCGCACTTTTGCCTTCTCGAGTCAAGAGCGGGTCGATGAGACCCTGAACACCAATCGAGACGGTCAAAGCGCATGAGTACTGCCTTCTTGGCTCTCCGCGGGCGGGTTATCTCTCAGATCAGTTTCAGCATGCCTCGCGGGGAGGCTGTCGGGCTGGACCTGACTTGGTGAACGAACCGCTATTCAGGTAAACAGACGTCGAGCAGAAAAGCCACATGACTTCATCAAGGCGATGGCGGTGCTCAGCCTCTGCCGAGTGCTGATGTTCGGTCTTGGCAGCCGTTCACATATATCTGAAAAGACTG